ATTAGACACCAAAGCTTTTTAACTTCCAATTTGTGTAAAGATATTAAATATATTAAAGTATATAGAGATTTATTGCTAGAGTAATTATATAGTAGATTATGGAAAGTAATAAATGAGTTCATTTAAATTATAAAGTATTTATATAGTTATAGAAATAGTATTTATATAGTTAGATAAATATAAGGGAAGACCAAAAAATGTTAGTCTAATGAAAGAGTACAAACAACTTGTATAAGTAGATTTTTTAGGACTCCTTCTCTTTTAATAGTATTGATTCGCCACTAACATAAATGTCTTTCGATATGGCTCTGGTCTGGAAAGGCAGAACCGGGAAGCTGATTCAAATGAGAAAGTTGGTTTACTCGATCGTGTTCATTTCGTTTTCCTCCACTCCACCATGTACAACAATTAAGGATCATTCATGAAAGTGTTTAATGGGTTTAGAGATAATGTACCGTTGATTTTGTATCTCCAGAAGCTAATTAAGAGAGCTTGGATACTGATTTGTTTTGATCTGGCGCGATCCAAGTAATACCCCTAATGCTAATATTTCAACTTCTATTGAGATCCCACACTAACTCAGAACTAGACTATTATCATTGTCTCTGTAGTAAGGAAAGAGTATTGTGTAAACATCTTTATTCCAAAAACATACTTGTAATCACGTATCTCTATAATATTATTTGAGAAGTCATTTTCTTACGTGTTGTGTTCGCGTTAACTCTCAAGCTAATTGATTACTATGATACCCCTAACGAATTTAAAAATACATTTAAATATTATTATTTCTTTTTAAAAAATTTCTAGATAATAATGTAAAATAAAAATGAAGCATTTATAAAGTTTAAAAGACTATTTAGAAACGAAAATATAAGTATATTGTGTATCAGAATATCAATAATACAGATCATTCTCCTAAGAGCACCTCCACCAAAGAATGATGGTTCACACATTTACCAAGAAAAAAAATATAAAATAATGCAAAATTGATGAATCCAGGTCGCATGGACTCACTGCCATGAACCCGGATCACTACAGTTTCATTGGTCTCACGCCATGTGGCGGCCACGATTGGTCAGTTTAATTTAAAAAAAAAACAAAAAATCAAACAAAAAAAAAAAAAAAAAAACAAATTCAGCTTGTGAACCCAACTGAGAATTCATTAATGTTGATGCTCTAATAGTCTGGTGTTCTTATTTGAACTGACCTAAACCTGAACTATGAGTCAGGCTGTACTGAACCCAAGTTTGCTCTCATCCTGTGTTCTGTATTTTTAAGAACGAAACAAGTGCGTTATGTTAAACATGCAGCAGAGTATGCATCTACCAGGTCGTCCTGAACCCACTAATTTCTCAGAAGAACATAAAAGAGTATGAATCAAATTTTGAAACTTGCATGATGGCATCAGATTAACACTTAATTTTTTCTTTACCAACTACATAACAGAACTACCTTAACAAAAATCGAAGCAGCTCCAAGCCAGAACCAAGGCACGAGACACGAAAACTAGCATAAGAAAAACTAGAGTGTCAGGGCTTTTATAAGAAACTCCCATGTTTATTCATTTACAAACGAGTAAAATATGTAGTAGTTGCATATTAATACCAAATGCAGTGATTTACATAAGCTTATAGCTAGTTAGAGATCAAAATGGAATACTAAGTTACTCTAATAAGTCAAAACCTCTAATTAAATAGAACTTTTGAAGGAGGGGAAGTAATTCAAGCTTACAAGTACCAAAAATAAGTGACTCTTCTCCTAACTTTGCCTCAAACAAAACAAAAAAGCCATCTAGTTAACGTCGTGAAACGTTATCCACATTTTCACTACAAAAAACCACAACCACCACCGATGATTCCTTCTCTTGATCAGCCTTAACTTTCCCGGTTTCAACATCCTCATCAGCTTCGTCGATTTTAGGCATCATGGAGAGACCATTATTGCCACTACAACATTTAACGGCTTCTAAAGTCGTGTTATCTTGAAGGCATATTGCTTCACCATCATCACCTACGTGTTTGCCCCATAACACGGCGTAGACTCCCACCGTCAAAACAACTACTCCAATAACCCTGAAATATAAATTCCGATTTTATAAAGTTAATTAACAGTTAAAAAAAATACTAAATTAGTATATATCATAATGAACCAAATGTTTTTAACGTACCCTCCAAGGTAGATCCCTTGGCCGAGAACGAAGAAACTCATTATGGAGACAATGACTACGACAAGAGGGTTAAAAGCAGTGACAAAGACAGGCCCCTTTCGCTGCATCATAAGTCCTTGAATGTAGTAAGCTATGCTCGATGACATTATTCCCTGTGAACCAATCAAAATATATATAAGTATCAACCATCCATAATTTGTGAATGGATCTTTGGTTACAACATATAGAAAATGTTTAAAAATTTAAAGAAACGGACCGCATATGCAGAAGCTAGAAGGTTCATGTCAAAACCAATGTTCAGAGCCGAAGGATTGTGTTCCATTACGAAAGTTAGGGCTAAAGATTGCAACGTTCCCACGAAACAGACCATGGTTGATAAAGAGAGGTGAGCTGAGTATTTCTTCAAAGTCGATGCCTAACCAAAAAAAACGTATATTCTTGTCAGTTAATCAATATATTTTTATATTTTGACCCAAAAAAAAAAAAATCAATATATTTTTATATATCCTTCAGATTACTGTATAAGAACTCGAATATGTGAGAATTTTTAATCAAATCATGTTTTTCTCTTCATAATATTTAGTGTTTCTATTCGTACTTCATATTTTGGATTAGTTAGTGTAATAACTAAAAATAAATAATGCAACATATATAATATTAAGATCTTCAGAATTAATATGAAAATAAATTATAATTTAATAGATGAATCTACACAATTTAGCTTATTCATAGACCAATCTAAGCGTTTACACAATGTTAAAGTCTAGACTAAAATCCCACGAAACTACAGTATTAACACACTAACTACTCTTTTAGACTGGATCCATAAAATGATACCTGAAGAACGAAAAATGAAGCCCATGAGAGGGAGGCGAGGAGGAGGAAGACTGTGGCTTTGAGATAATCACCGGCGAGCGGCGGAGAGGCGGTGGTGGATTGAGATCGGAAGAAATTGATGAAAGGACCTTTGTATAATATCATCAATATGGATCCAACCACTGTCACTAATGTCCCCACCACTTTTACTTGGCATCTTACTTTTCTAATCTCCACTTTTTCCATCCTTTTTTAATATCCAGATATTTACATAAAACACATCAATATTTCATAATTTTTACATATACGTACGTATAAATAAATTTTTGCTTTTTGTGTACGTATTAATGTATTTACCTGAAAAGAGTGGCGAGAATAAAGACAAGAGCGGGCATGATGTTACTGACGACCGTGGAAAACGTCGGAGAAGTGAGTTTCAGACCGATGTAGTATAGGTTCTGATCAATCACAGGCCTGTGGATACCATCATGCTAATATTAGCCATTTAACGATTTTTAGATAATCAACAAGACCAAAAAAAAGTTTAGGAGATGGATTAATTAAGAAGACTAACCCGAGAAGAGCAAGAACAAATATTTGCATGAATATTGGGAACGTCATCTTTGACCTCACTTTCCTACAAATCCACCACGCTTAAATATTACAAAACGCGTAAAAAAAATTTAAGAACATATTCGTTTTTTTGTATTTGGAAGCAACAATTTGATACAATATCTGCCATCTAGATACAAAAACGAACTATATGAACTTCTTTCTCTTTGTACCTTTCGGAGAGAAATGCAAAAGGTGCGATCACGGCTGTGGCAAAAGCGTTGCGGTATGTAACTAGAACGTAGTGGCTCATACCACGGTCAAGAACGGTTTTAGTGATCAGGTTCATACCGGCGTAACCGAACTGAAGACAAACCATTGCAAAGTATGGTTTAGCTGATTCTGACATTTTTAATCCCATCTCAACTCGTTAGGACAAATAAGTTAGAAACAGAGAGGAGAGAAACACTTGGAGAATGTGCTTTTCTCTGAGAGGTTCTTTGTATTTATATTCGGATTTGTTATGTCTTCTCTGCTTTCTTCCTTTAGTTTTTTTTTTCTTTTCTGTAATTTGTTATTACATTTTATTTTATTCTTTTATAATGACGTTGGCGTTAACATTTGGATGTCATGAATTCATTATCCTTAAAGTAAGTAGATAGAACGTTTTATATGTAAATATTCGGTTTATATGGCTTTATGAAACCAGTCATGATATTAGGTAAATAAAACTTGTGGCTACTAAATGTCGAGATTAATAGTGTGATTGACGTGGCACAAATGAGATGTTTAGTTTAATACAATAGGTACAAGTTACAATTAAATTATCCCTCTAACTATTTTTCGTGTTAGGTTTTGGTTGCAGATAGAGCGTCACAACGGATATACTCGGATGATCCTATGTATTGTTAGTAGCCCATGCAAATGCAAGAAAAAAAAACCTTTATGCATTCATCATTTGAAACATGTTATTTTAAAATATAAGTTGGTGTATGTCGACATCTTCATACATGCTATTGGCCTAACTAGTAAGTAAAAACCAATTTAATAATTTAGAATTTGATGGGTTCTTTTCGTGAAACACAAACTAATAAAATCATAGAGTGATACTGAAATGAAACAAAGCTAAACGCATTGCAACGTTTAATAATATGCCAAATCATCTGGTCACGTCGAGAGAGATTAGTTTAATTACGCTTGTTTGTGATCTACATTAGAGCATCTTTATCGGGGGTATTTAGGAGGGTTTTTAGGGGGAAAAAGTAAAGTAGGTCCCAGGAAAAAAGAAGAAACGTGATCTTCTGTCACGAAATAAGGAACGTGTTTTGTTGGTTCTTTACACTGTACAGCGGGCCCCACGACATGTGGCGGCCCGCTATAGGTTGTCTTCTTTTTTTTTTTTTTTTTTTTTAAAAAATCGGACAAAACAGAAAAAAAGAAAAAAAATAAGAAACTGACCATACGTTTTGCGATAAAGATGCTCTTATCCTCTTATGATCACCATACCCTATTTACTTTGTCTTTTTCGTTTTCTTCTTTTTCTTATTCCACTTTGTTTTTCTTTCGTTTAAGTAATTGTATAGCAATTAATCTTGTTGGTTAATGTATACTAGGAATTTGACAAATCGACCAACTAAACCACTACAAAAGGATAAACTCATTGTAATATTGGGCTATATACATATATGGAGTGTGACGTATTGGGACACATCTACTCTATCCTAGCTCCTACACTCGTGGTCACAAATGATCGATCTTAGTGAATCGAATTGCCATTTTAAGAAGAAACACAAGTTGACAAAGTGAACTGCACGTGGCAGCAACAATCAATTTGGTTCCATCCTATGTACCTACGTTTGGGACCCATATCTCAAAAACTAGCAATTTTACATCTGAAAATGCGATCTTCTGTTGAAAAAGAATAAGTGGACATAATATTTGCTGGATATCTTGTCTGTTATCGATTTCGATCTCTTCCCAGTTTCTCTGAAAAGCAGATATTTTTAGATGTACATAACCAATAAATGCAAATAACTTGTTCATGATTAACGTGAATTATCGCTAGAAAATCTTGATTGCTTTCTGTTTACTGAATTACTAATAATCGATGGATTCCTTTTCTTACAATTTAAGAATTTGTGCATATATGTGAATGCGTATGTGTATAGATCAGTACCATTGATGAGAGTGCATATGCTTGTATCATATGCACCTGATGATATCGATCTGCATAGTGTTGCATATTGCTTATCCGAAACGTGAACCACATGATAATACTAAATTAATGCGTACAGAAAGGCTAACCACATCTCAATAACTCATTGGATTATTTATAAATATATTATTATATCCTTTGATGTTGCATCTTTTATCAGTTTATGTCACAAATCCTTCACTTGTATTTTTATGATATGGTTAAGCATCCATTTTTTTCTTACAGAATATGCATTATAATGTCACTTTAAGAGACAATAGTGGCTACTTTACGTGGAGAAGGTTTATGTGGAATTCGTAAACCTAAATTTAATTTGGTTAATTCTGTAGACTCCATTGTATTACTAGGTCCCATTAATTTATAGATATCTATGGCGAGAACATATGATTTATTTATTTTTTGAAAATTTTCATTTCAAACTAATCAGAAAAGACATCTCGATTTACATTGCCTTTGTACATATATATCCGAAAACGTGTCTCATGCTTACTTAGTCACTTGTCTTTAATAGTCTAGAACTTTGGGGTTTTGATTAAGTGAGCGGTGTTATATCAGAGTAATTAAGAGCCCAGGTGTATTATGAACTTATGTAGTAGGATACACCTTTTGATATATCATCTTCCATATCTATAGTTTATCATATATGTTAATGAAACTAATAACCCTTATAAAGCTTTTAGTCAAAAATATGTGAAAGATGAAAAGGTAAATACAGATGAAAAGGTGTATAGTATGTCATGCATGTGTGTGGATGTGTGGATTCCACGTAGATCGAGTCAGAAACACGTGTAGAGGCTTCATGATGTTTTTCCCAAATCGAATATCTTACGTCTCTGCGATTGGGGAATTATGCTTACACAAACTCCACCTGACAAAGTTTGGCGTACAAAATCATTCGTAAATCTAATTAAATAACTTTCAGTTTTCAATATGATTCACATATTTCTACCAAATTCGAGCTGAACCATGTATAATGTCGGGTGTCTATCGCGACATCACTTTATAACTTTTTATTTGTAGTGTGATTGGATTTCTCTCAAGGCTGAGGTCTCTCTTCTATTCCATTTTGGTTTTGTGATTTTTCTCTTTCGCTCAAACATTTGTAATTTTATTGTGAGGTTAGTTACTCCTAGTCTCCTATTGCTTACTGTTTGTGCATTCTGATTTCTTCTAACAAATTCCACATTAAATACTACTTCTAGTACGACCTCTCATAATGGTACATTGCTGATTTTTTTCCCTATATGTCAAGCCCAGCCCATTTAATGGACTTCCCTTACAAATGCTTAATCATCTAAGCATGCTCAAACTTGATTATTGAACTTGGTAGAAACTACAAACAAATCTTTGATTACTCCCTTTTACATAATCACAAGGTAATTATCGTTGGTTGGCTTCTATGTACTATAAACCACTTATCCTTTCGTTTGTTTGGTTCATTCAACATATCTTTGATACTTCCTTTTCAAATACCAAACAAATGTTATTCTCTAAGTCGTGTCATTCCATTGTCTAAGCTGGAATATTGTAAACAACACCACACATGTCTAAGCTTGTTTACTTAGATGGAGACAAGGCAAACCAATCTTTCATTTTCAAGTTTTAGTCATGATTGCGTTCATAAGTCTTTGATTGTGTTCATAAGTCTTTGGCATGATCGACCTTAATATTCAGAAAGTCATAAACATTTTAAAATAAATCTTAATTTTTTTCATAGTTTTGAAAACATAAAACCTATATATATTAACTATCTTCAAAATTTGTACATTATGCCATGACTAACTCTAGTCTTTTGTTCAAGTTTTATTTTTTGGAAAAATGTTAACTGTTTTGTTATTAGCTCTTGAATTAAAAAAAAAAAGAAGTTTGTAACCTTTGAATAGTCTTTAATCAAGTGTTCCTAAAAGAATAATACCATGGTTAGCAAAATTTGTTGCTCTAGTATGAATTTCAATCACAAGATCCTCAATATCTTTCATTATTTTTCGCAACTTATTTTTTCCAAATTGTTACATTGCTCAAACTTCACTTTGTTATAAACAACACAACAAATGCAATCATTTTAAAACCTGACCACCTATCAACTAATAAACTACATCACTCACTCACTCACTAACCAAAACCTCCTCCAATAACTTCACAACCTGATCCATCGTAGGCCGTTCTTTACTCGCCTCCTTCACACAAAGACTCGCAATCCCAAAATACTCATCCACACTCTTCTCACCAACAAAACTAGACTCAACCATTTCATTATACCGATTCTGCCCCTCTAACATCACAGCCCACTGAGCCAACCCAACCTCCTTCCCATCCACAACCACAGTCCAATTAGGCCGTCTCTGCGTCCCCATCTCCAACATCAACACCCCAAAACTATACACATCCGTCTTCACCGTCGCCGCCGTGTTCCCTTCCCAATACTCCGGAGGCATGTACCCCATGGTCCCAGCCACCTGCGTCGAGACATGAGACCTAGACGCGTCGATGCTACGCGCCAGCCCAAAATCAGCTATATGGGCCGCGAAGTCCGAGTCCAGTAACACGTTGCTGGACTTAATGTCTCTGTGGATGATTGGTTTAGGAAGACCATGAAGGTAAGCTAACCCTTTAGCCACATCGTACGCTATACTCAAACGTGTGGCCCACGGTAGCATGTAAGCAGCGTTGACCGTCTTCTCGTGAAGCCAATCGTCAAGACTCCCTTTCTCTAAAAACTCGTAGATCAAGACACGGTCCGGTCCCGAGATGCAGTAACCTAAGATCCGTACTATGTTGGGATGACGTAAGCTGCTTAACGCTTCCATCTCCGCCGTGAACTCACGGAGTCCTTGTAAGGCGTCGTGGTCTAGCTTTTTGACTGCGACCACGACGCCGTTTGAGAGCTCTGCGCGGTAGACTAAGCCGAAGCTCCCGTCGCCGACGATTAGATCAGAGGAGAAGTTGTTGGTCGCTGAGGAGAGTTCGGACATGGATATCTCGCAGATGGAGGGGTCGAAGCTGGTGCTTTCGTTGTTTAAGGTGGGGTTGAGAGCTGTTGATGAGTTTGGAGTGGCTATTTGGTGGTGGGGTTGGTAACGGCGAGGGTGGTTTTGGATGGCGTGGCGGCGACGGCAGAGGAAGATGGTGAAGATTAGGAGGAGTAAGATGAAGATGGAGGTTGTGGAGGCGACGAGGGTTGCTAGGAGTTTGTAATCCATAGGTGGTGGTGGTGGTTTATGTGGAGGAGATGGTGTTTTTGAGATGAGTATGAAACGCTGAGAGAGAGGGATTAGATTGAGAAGGAGAGAAAGAGATGATCCGCCATTGATAGCGAGGGGTGAAGGAAAGATAGATAATTCAACAGCGAGATAAAGTTTGGGACGACTCGCTTTTTTTTTCCTCTGGTCAATGCACGACTCATTGATTGAAGATAAAACTTTATAATATATATTTTTTTAATTAGTTAGTCAATGTTCAAACAGTTACAAGAGAGAGAGACGATACCTTCAAACCAAAATGGTAGAGCATAGACAATTTTATTACACAACTACATGAGCATCTGACACCAAAGAGACAGAGAGACGCTACATAAGGAGAGTGTCTCTCTCCCTACCAAAGAGTTTCATTTCTAACATTAGCTCACATGTATGTGACATTTTTCTTCATTTAGTAGCCGGTTATTAATAATATCAAACTAGGTTTAAATATTTAACATGATTAAAAGTACAAATGTCTCAAGAAAAAAATTGTCTTTCATGGATTATACTAAACTAACAAGATACTTAAATTATGTTCCAAATCTGGGGAATATTAGGTGTTTCCACCTGCATCATCGGACTTTCTCCTGTAGAAGAGCACATAAGCAGCACCTGACTTCACATCATCCTCGTTTATATGTGATATATGACTGTCATCAAAATTATACCACCTATTCTCCTCCAAAAGCTGCACACACGAAAAGGATAATCAAAAATTTAGTAAGAAAACTCTCACAAGTAGAGGAACATAATCAAACTATTAGGAGAACTAAAAGCTGACCTTGATATATGCGGTGTAGTGTCCGCTTCCCATACCACCGTAATGGTTTGTCAAAGCATAGAGCTCATAGAGTTGTGGCTGAGAGATGTTTTTGTTGGCTACATACTTTGTCAAATCTAAGTCATGGATTGGGAAGTTCACGAATGTTTCCAGCTTGTGCTTCATTGATCTGCTGTATGAGAATCTCTTTAGATGTATGACCAACACTTCCGGTAGCCTCCACAAATCAAGCTTTTTGCTTGCCTGCCTTCTTTCATTGCATTGTGGACATAACCTTCACACACACACACACACAAAACACGACTTATATACAAGACAAAATGTATCAAACCACAGGAGGCATACGGAGAGAATACTACTTACCACATTTCGTCAGGCACCAAAGGCTCTTCTCGTAGAAACGCTTCCAAACATGCGTATAAAGAAAGAGGTTCTGAACGAGCCTTCTTTGTAGCAGGTCCGTATTTGAGTACTTCAGGCAAACCCTCCAGGCAAGCTATATCGTACATACCAGAAAGTTCTTGCGTCCAATCCAAATATATGGTTACCGTTGCAGATGATGGTAATTTAATAGCTTCCCCTTCATCCTCTGGCAGTTTAACTGTTTTGTTGCTTTCATCGTTGAGTTGCAGGGACAATTTAGATGCAATCACTCCGGAAGAACTGCCTTTCTTGCCTTTTCTCGATCCACCATTTTTATCTTCATCCTCGGAACTATTAAGCCGCGCTGACCTTCTCTCGGGGATGCTAGCCTCAGGCTTTCCTCTCTCGATTATAGGTTCTTCCCTCCGAAAAGGTGAAAGCATGTTTTCGACAATGCACAGGATTTTTCCTTTGGTGAGAGCAGTTTCACGTAAAGCTAATGAGAGAAGAGGTGTTCCATAGGGTTTCAGTTGTACAGAATTTTCACGTTCCCCAGCTTTCCTGAAACATGGTATTCCGGTTAACAACTGTTCAGTGTAGCAATATCGTTGACAAAGAAAGTATATCTATGATAAAACATATCACTGCCCAGTCAAAACTGAGGTTTCATAAGAAAGCCAGAGATCAAAGACTGGAGAACTTAGGCCACAAAACATGGAGTCTTGAATTTGTTCGAAGGGAGATCCAAAGAAATTGAGCCAAAAAGGAACTTTGTTATCTCAAACTAGTCCCTAGAATTATTTCACACAAAGTAGACTTACTGTTCCCTGCGGCGGAAAACTAATTTGAGCAATGCTGGATTCTCTGAAGACTTTGAAAGTTTGTATGCAGCAAGATGATCATCGTCTTTGATTGTGGACAATGGAATTAGAGGATCTTCAAACAATCTATGAACCAAATTATTCCGAATCTGCGACAATAAAACTTTGTATAAGGAAAAGCCAAAAAACTAAAAGCTTAACTTAAAAGGGCACTTGAAGCTATAAACCTCTGCAAGCTTCAGCTCTTCACTTTGCTTCAAGGAACAAGCATTTGTTAATGCCTGCATCAAGTCTCTGCACCGTCCCTGCTTTGAAATATTGACAGTGATTGTCGAAGGCAAGACAGTTTTATCACAAGAAAAAACTGTGACTGTTATTGCTCTTGTTGTGTTGAACTGAAGCGGCAAAGATAGGTACATGAAGGGATCAAATGTTACGGAAACCTTGTTGCAGATTGGACATACTAATGTTGACTTATATTGTCCCTGTGAAATGAGACACAGAATAGGAGAGTGAGAATCCCACATAACTAAAAAAGGAAAAATTAGTAACAGAGTCAATGCCTAATAGAAAAGCTGATGTGTGATATTAGCATTCATGCAACCGAGATTAACATAAAATCTCTTGCAGAGTAAAAGTGCTGGTATCTCTAAAAGATGTGCATCTTACCTGACAAACATCAACGATTATTGAGTCATTACGAGCAATATGATTAGCCCAAAACTCATCAGCAACTTCTTCATCAGGGCGACCATCTGCGTCTCGAGAATTTATATATGGTTTATGTTTAACACGATTTAGGTCTTCGTGAAGACCATCCAACAAAAACGCTAAAAGCTCCTGCAATGTAAGAACCCCTAATTCCTCAAGTTACAATGCCAATAAAGCTTCAAGAATGTTCAAGTTAGTCAGCCAAACCTGCGAATCATGTTGATTGTATCCACTGAATTGAGGAGCAAAGCGAGCAAGTTTTGCCTTGAATGGACGGGGTGCAATTGGAGTGCGCCCAGGAGCCCATAGCTTCCTAAGCAAGTCCCCAAATGCAAGAGCTAATTCTCCCTGTGCATAGTGATTTATAAGCAGTAAAGTAATGATGTGGAATTAAAAATTTACAATTTCAGCGAAAAACAATGCTGGTGATGTACACGAGAAATGGTCACTGATAAACATCCTAGGAAACATTACCCTAATCAATTTGTGATGAGATATATTATAGTGACTTAATCTACAATCTCTGACATTAGGTATTGTAGATTCTGTCAAGATTCTTGGATTAACTTCGTCTAAAAGAATAAAGCACACCCCCTAAGTGCAGAAATGCAAAACATTATTTACATGCAACAGGTAAACCGGAACAGTCGTGAACGAATTATATCTACGCATACCTATATGCACACACTTATGTATGCAGCATACTTATGGTAAACTTCAAGAGGAACTTACCACCATGCCAAGAGGGTTTTGCCAATTTATCTCTTGATGATAATCATCTTGGAAGTAACTAGCAAACTCAGGTGTATGAACCAGGCACTGTATTGCACTATTCATGAAACAGGTATTCCCAAGATTAAGCAATCCTGTCAAGCCAGCAGTGGATCCCCTTGTCGTGACACCAGTGGTGTATGTGCTATCAAAAGATTGTGAACCTTCTACACTACCACTTCTGAATGCATTCCTGTTTGAAGAGAAACCTCCTGCAACTGTCAAGCTCGATTTAGAAGGATCAATGAGAACTGAAGTAGAGTCTTCTTCAACCAATCCGTTCTCATGAAGAGATTGAATGTGAGCATTTGATGATGTACCATTCGTGTCAAGCATCTCCACCAAAATCTGATTTTAAACGACAACCATCAGTTGAGTATTCAAAAGAAAGACCAGAGAGAATACAGAACCATAAACTAAGATTAACTAAACAATGGGACCAAAGCATAACGTTTTACTTTGAACTGAATTAGCAAATGCCAAACACTACTCCAGCTAAGTAGGCTTTGCGAAAGAGAAAACTAATGCGTTTTCCATTCTCTCCCCCCCCCCAACAAATAGGCCGAAAAGATATACAACAAACTTAGCATACCCAGAAACAGTGTCAGAAAACTATGACAGAAAGTTCAAGTTGCATATTTCTAGCTCCTAGCTAACACATTTAAAGCAAAAAAGAAGAAGAAGGAATGAACTCACATCCTGATCCATTTGTAGGTTAGCATCGTCCAGTGTCTTATCTAAGTCATTCATCAAAGAATATTTTTGGTGGCCATAGTAATCCCAAATGCGTACCTACATGATAGAAAATGCTCATGTAAGAAAAAAAAAAGGAATACAAAATGTATCACTGAAATGGGATGTTTGATAACATAGAGATATCAGATCTTACATGGTCTGAGTTGAGGTCAAAAATTTCACAGGCCCTTCGATGGAGCTCTCTTATAGTTTCCTGCTCAACATAGTTAGTACTTAGTACAATGAGGTAAAAATATTATGAGTAGTAATGGAGTAAGAAAGTAAAAAATGAAAAGAAGAGTAACCTTTTTGCTTATTCTTATTGAACTCTGGTCACTTTTCGCCATCAAAAGCAGCTGAAGGCGTAAAGGGTATACCTCCACCGCCAACTCTGTTTGCGAAAGACCCGAACTGATGACTCTCCGTGCCAGTGTTGGACCACCTCCATACCTTACAAAACAGAAGCAAAAAACATGAGATAAACATGACCCAACATACCAAACGTAAAGAAGAAAAACCCAAGGCACTTAAAAAGGTGTAGCCAACACAAGATAAATAGATTCACAGTTTCAACTCTATTCAAAACTCACCATGAATGCAATTGGTTCCAAACTTCTTGAGGAAGCAAAACATAGTCACGGCCTTCCTGAAGTGTATCAATAATCTCACCGGCACTACTCGGCTCCTCCAACGCAGAATCATAGATCAAATCAGAGTTATCAATCATAGAAGGCTTCTTCAGAGTGGTTGAGCCAGCAGAATCACAATGCTCCGAAACTGAAGATCCATCATTAGTGTTGCACGGTTGGTCTTGATTAACATACTCAATCCATTCTTGCCACCATCTGAACACAAAAGTATCACAACAACAGAGAAACTGTTCTCAGAGAAATGACACTAACCACCAAAACTAACATAAGACAGAAAAATCAAATTAACCCCACTAATGATCTAATCTCATTGCTAAAACGTTCTGATAAGCTCAATCCCTAAACCCTAACCAAATCAAAATGACGAGAAATTAGCAAATAGCTCTCAGAGTTTGATTCAGTAGCATAATACCTCTGAGAGATGAGGTAAAACGTGTCGCCTTCTTTGCTGTTAGACTCAGCAGCGATAGCAATGTCTCTGATGAAAACTCGCTCTTCCTCGGGAGACAGATCCGTGCTGCTACTGCTGCTTCCCATCGACACCTCCGCCATTTCTAGACCTAAGTTGATTTCGTGATGAAATGCGATTAGGGAGAAAAAAAATCGACTCTACTTCGCCGTTAGCTTCCGGTGGAGAGTAAGGCGGTTTGCTGTGATATAAAACGGAACCCTAACGGCTTTTTGGTGAGGTGAAAGTTGAGTGAGCCGCGTCGAACCCTTCTCTCTCGAATAGATACTCTCGCTGGCTTGGCTCCTTTGATTACTTATTTCGAAAATCGTTCCACAAAAATCCACCGATTTATCATTTTTGTCATCATTATATTAAATTGAAAATTCGCATAAATTAAAAAGGTAGCATTTTTTAAGTTTTTATCACAAAATATACCTCAAAAATTAAAATTACTAAAATAGCACTTTTTGTTTTTGAAAATTTCGAAACGCTATTTAAACAAAAAAAAGTCTAGAATTAGTTAACCCAAAGGATATAAATATATATTTAATAAAATATTTCAGTTTTATTTTAGTCATTTTAATTATTAAGGTCTATATTTGTGAAAAAAAAAATTTAAATCTATTCTAATAATTTTCTAATTTTTTTAGGTGTATTCTACTCATTTTCTCAATTAAAAATCCACCAACTAACTCTTACTAATTAAATTATTCACTGGAGAAAGGCCATTATTGCAATTATAAACAACTGTTAATAAGTTTTATTTGATTTATTAAGGTGTCTATATATTATTGTGAAATATTTTCACATTTTTAATTAATAATAAAAAAAAAATGGTTCAGTTAACCAATTTTTTTGTTTCTTAAAGAAAAGGGGAAAACTCAGCTCTCTTGGAGCTTGCTGACAAAAAAATGAATAAAATAAGGTGAGCTGGTTAGCGAATCTGAGTTGATGCTAATCCAATCTCTCCGGCGACGAGCTCAGGCCAAGACTTCTTCACACCTATATATCTGATTCTCCTAAGGTTAGCTAAGTGTCTTCTTCCGTTTTCACTGATTCGCTTTTTCTCTCTTCTTCGATCATCATTGACTCTTGCTTCTTCTTGTTCTAAACCTCTTTTTTCTTGAAATCTAGGATGACAGAGAAGGGACATTACATGCCGCCTCGTTACATTCCATTACAAGATTCGGTGGATGCTGAAGAAGAAGAAGTAACCACCACAACAAGTCTTGAAGTTGCTGTTTCTGGAGACACAAAAGATGGTCCGAAACAGTGGTCCTCTGGTATATGCGCTTGCTTCGACGACATACACAGCTGTATGCTACTCTCTGTCCTCCACACCTTTATTTTACTACAGGAACCAAGTTTGGTAGTGAACTAAATATGATTGTATGTGTCTGTGTTAAAAGCTATTGGTAGTAATTGCATTTCTTGAATAGCTTAGGCCTTGGGGAAGAAAAGCTTTCTGTATGCTACTTGTCTTGAACACACGTATGTTTATGTTGTCTGCAGTGAATTGGTTTTGAGAAGAACATTGGGAACTTACTGTTGTTTGTTAATGGATGGACAGGTTTTATAGGTTTGTTCTGTCCATGCTATATCTTTGGCAAGAACGCAGAGCTGTTGGGGTCTGGAACATTTGCAGGACCTTGCTTAACACATTGCATTTCATGGGCGTTAGTCAACACCGTTTGCTGCTTTGCAACCAATGGTGTGTTGCTTGGTCTACCTGGATGCTTTGTCTCATGTTATGCTTGTGGATACCGCAGATCGTTAAGGACCAAGTACAACTTAGAGGTAATTAAGCAAGTGGCTCAGATGGTAAACATGTGTGGATATCATCATTATTGTTGTTTCTAACAGGCAAGTTAATGTAATGTTCTGTTGATGTAGGAGGCTCCATGTGGGGACTTTGTAACACATTTCTTCTGTCACTTGTGTGCCATTTGCCAAGAATACCGAGAGGTCCGAGAACGTAGCAGCGGCTCAAATCCTCCTGACATGAAGATGGCTATCACCAACGCTCCCTTGGCTCAAACCATGGAATCAACTAACTGATCACTTTCAGTTTCCTTTTGTTAGATTACATGTTCATTGTATTTGAGAAGTTTGATGAGTAGAGTATAAACTTGCTAAGATTCTATATAAGTTTACTAAAGATATATTAAAAAAAAAAGTTACAGCATTTGGATTCTACATCTGGGAACAAAAAACCTGAACAACGGTAGTATAAAGCTAAGGGATATTACTTGATTCCACAGAGCAGCCAGCTATTTATTCTTTTGCATACAGAGCTGAAAACTGCTGAAAAGTCTTTTAAGTGGTCACGAGATGAGGAGCTCCTGGTTGAGGTAAGACACAAGAGTATGTTACATACTTAGCACTGTCCTGAAGCACGACAACAAAAACTCGGGACAGTGATTTTGGTCCCCCAATTATCCCATCGATATTTCCATCACCACCTTCTCTGGGATCAACAAGCACAGACACAACCATTGATGAGGCCGGCTTCATTTCCTTGCTAGAGCTGTTTCTTTGGTGCTCTTTGGTGAAATTAAAATCTGATCCTGGGAGTGGAATGGTGAGACCACGAAGGGTTCTTCTGTTCTTTCGCATGTGTGTCTCTGTGGCGTTCTTACTGCGTTCAGAAGAGACGTTGGTTGCTGGAGATGCAGGAATAATGGCTCCAGAGGTTGAGGAGACATCGAATTGAAACACTTCTGTGCACATCCCGGAGCTAAACATTGGCCCTACAATGGAGTAAAAAAAACGAATTATTTATTCTGATCTCAAAAACACACACCCAAAAGCTACTATGCCTCTAGCTTCTGCAAGATAAAGAAAGTCACGCTATAACTAAGCCTTTTACATTGTTACTCATTAGTGCTTACTTAGCATCTATCCAGATAATGTTATGCATCTACTCTAAACCTGAGATTAACTGAAGGTAGGTTAACGGAAAGTAACATCAGAACCCACAACGTTTTCCTAAACGATATGATAAGGACTAGTACAACTACAACGTCTTCCTACATAATAAAGTCAAGGGAACATAAAGTAACATCAAAAACCCATCATTACCTGCAACACCTTCCCGAAACCATTGTTGCATTTCGCCATTGGCTGCTTTTGTTTTGATTTGGTCTCTCAAAGTATCAGCAGAGCCAGAGGATAACGCTTTCTGTTTTTCACCCTTAGATCTTACGAGATGCTTAGCCATATCTTCGATCATTCCCAAGTCAGGTAGAGGCAGAGCAAGGGAATTATCTTTAGGAATCACCCCGTCAGCTTTACTCTCATTCGATTCAGAAGCCTTACGTGAAGCCACAGCTTTCTCACTCGCCAATATAGAATTAATAATCAAATTCCCATCAATCTTCACAAGCTTATCATTCCTCGGAACAAATAGCGACGCAACTAACGGCTCACTACCATTTCCAGGAGGTACAGAGCTCTCTGCTGCAGAAACACCAGAACCAGTACCACTACTACGAGATGTATCCAAAACTCTATTCCTATGCTGGCTATAAACCTGGTCAGTAACATAATTAGACCTATAATTCCCATAAAAAGCACCACTAATCCCTCCATAACTAACGTTCACGACAGGAGCCAACGCACCAAACAAAAACAGACAAAACAAAAGACCAAGAAAGCTAATACTAGCAACCTTCTTGGTCTTACCTTCACTCTTCTTACTCTTCACCTTAACTGGATTCTGTGGTTTCAACCTAGGAATAGGAATCAAAGGCACTTGCCCTCCTTGTTGCTTAACCATATAAGGAGGACAATGCATCCACGGATAAGCCATCGGCTGATACATCCCCATCGGAGGCAGCGGCGGCGGAGCCGCACACATTCCATTCCCACCTAACTGCTGCCTCAAAGTAGCGTTCTCAGCCATGAAATAAGATATCTTCCCGTTCAAATCAGTTATCGTAGAATGCATACTCCTAACCTTCTCTTCAAGCTCCTCCACGTAATGCTTCTTCCTCTGCCTCGAAAGCTGCGCACTTTCTCGGTTCCTAATCAACCTCGCTCTCTTCTTCTTCTCGTCCTCTTCTTCTTCTTCTCCTTCGCCTGCGACGGTAACGGCGCTCTCTTCTCCCGATCTCCTGTACTTACTGCTCCTCGATTCGTCGCTAACATCCTCCTCCTTCTTCCGCTTGGTAACAGACGCTGGTGCCTCTTCCACCTTAACCTTCTGATCCACCACGACGTTCGTAGCTGCTTCCGATACATCGGAACCGCAGTTACCTGATCCCTGAGACGACAACGGAGTCGGTTGATCGGTGGGAGATTCACTGTCGCGGCGATGGAGAAGACTCTTATCGCCGGAAACAGCGGAGCCTTCGGACTCCTCCGGGGTGAAATCTCCGAACTGTTCTTGGTGATCGGGGAGGAGGAACGTCTCGTCTTCGGCGGGTAAGTAGAGATCTTCCATCCCGTCGAAAGTGAGCTCGAAATCGGCGTCGATTGGGAACCCTAGATCGGACATTAGCTCGCCGATCGGGGGTTGATCGGAGATGGGATTGTGAAATTGGATGGAATTGAAGTCGGGTGGAGGTGGCGGCGGGTCCTCGATGATTGGTTCAGACATTTTTAGGGTTAGGGTTTCGGATTTGGGGGTGAAGGAGGAGGTGATGCACGGGAAGAGGGGTTTAAAGACAAGAGGAAGCTACCTTCTTCTCTTCCGTCTTCGGCGCGTGACTACACTCTCCCTATAATAAAAAGCGTCGACAGTAAATAAACTAACAAAAGAAATCTAGAAAATAAAACTTAATGGAAATTATTTTGAATAGTGATTTCAGTATTTGTTGCTATAATTGTTTAAGCTAATACTATTTCAAGTGGTTGAATTTATTTGATGTAGATTTAATTTACTGGGTTCTTATAGTGTGATTAAATGCAGATACATAATATATGGAAACTAATTTACGTAATTACTATGCAGATTACATCACCTTCCAAAACTAAATAACAAATTAATACTACTACATGTTATTAACTTGTATGATGTGTGCTGAATTTTTTTTTTTTTTTTAGATGTTAGTATTTTGTAGGTTTGATTGATAAATAATGGTAACTCCAATCCAAATTTATAAAGCTATACAACTGCAAGTGTGGTTGACTTTAAATAGTTTCTTTGGTGTAGAAAACAAATGGCAGATAATTTAATGAAGATACATAATACATGGAAAATAGTTTACGTATATCAATCTTTTCGTGCTTTTATTTTTCTGTTGTCTTATCTTATTTTGGTAACCGCTATCTCAATTTTCAACAACATTAACTAGATTTTGACCCGCTCAACCGAGCGGGTGTTTAATTTCGTTTATAAATATGTATATATATATATATATATATTTATTTATTTATTTACATCATTATTGGTTTATATTATTATTCATATGTTTAATGTTTATAAAAGATTCTATAAGATTTTGTTAGAATTCTTTTTAAAATATTTCTTTTATTTCAAATAAAAGAAAGATATCAAAAGATATTGTAACTAAGTCAAATAAAATGTTACTAAAATATATATGAAATATTACTTTATAGGAATGGTCCATTTTAAAAAATATCACACATGAAGAGAAGTTGTGACTTCTCTTTTAATATAATAGATCTATTATATTAAAAGAGAAGTCATGACTCACTTCATGTGTGATTTTTTTAGTTTAGACCATCATTAGAAATTTCAATTTTACATAATATCATTATAATATCTTTTCATATCTTTAATTTTTATTTGAAATACAAATAAAGAGTTTTAAGAAAATTCTAACAAAATCTTTTAGAATTTTTTCAAGATATAGTTTCATANTTTTTTTAGTTTAGACCATCATTAGAAATTTCAATTTTACATAATATCATTATAATATCTTTTCATATCTTTAATTTTTATTTGAAATACAAATAAAGAGTTTTAAGAAAATTCTAACAAAATCTTTTAGAATTTTTTCAAGATATAGTTTCATAAATTATTTGATTAAAATTTTAATTATCATAAAATATAATTAAAAGTTTAATTCATTTTTATTATATACAAAAAAATTAAAATTACGTAAAATACTTTTAAAAATATCCCAGTATTTTGTTAAGGTGTTATGTAGGTCCAACTTAATTTATTTTTACATATATTTCAAATTTAGAAATAAAATAAAATATATAAAATAGTAATGTTACATAATAATGTTTTTAAAAATTGTTACAAAAATACAAATTTATAAATTTTATATTAATAATATTATAAGTCACATAAATATTATTATAAAATTAGATAGTATACATAATCAAATTAGATTTATTTATTGATAAATTTCACTATCTCCGTTTCTTAATATATGATGTTTTGAATCATTGCACAAAGATTAAGAAATTTACATATTTTACAAATGTATTTATAAGGATATAACTTTAAAATCATTCTGCCAATTATTAAAAAAACAATAAAATTTTATCGGTTAAAAAGTTTCCAATAAAGTTAAAATAACCTTAAAACTTCAAAATATCTCTTAAATGTTCAAAACATCTTATATTTTGAAACAAAATAAATCTTTCAAAATATCATCTAATTTGAAAAGAAAAGAAATATTATATAATTTCAAATATTTTCATATTAAAATACCTGCACGGTTGTGTGGGTCGAGATCTAGTTAGAAGTTATAATATATATCTAAAAGTCAAATGGTGTTAGTTTTTGAGACGACAAAAGGAGGTTTAATGTTTTTTGTACCAAACCATTTGTTCCGTTCGTGCATGTATGAAGGAGGTAGATGAGTATAGCAGAGCATATGCATTGTTTTGACGTTCTTCTTCAAAAGTACAGTTCATTAGTTTGTAGCAAATAAATGGCGTCCTGACTTCGGGTTTCTAGCTTTTATTTGTACTTTATCTTATGCACAGACACCAAAAGAATATAATTCAATTTTAGACTAATAAATACATATTTTATTCGTATAATATTCAAACAATAGAAAATGACAACAAGAGCAAAAGAAAACCGTGAGTGTAGAACAATCGCTGGAGGTAGAGCGTTGTGTGGGAGTAGAGAAGGTGACTCCGTGACTGTCCACATGAAGAAACACGTTTACTGCATTGTGTTAGAGTGAAGCAACCGTTTTGTTTTGTTTTGGCCTCTCTCTCTCGAGAAACTTCTCTTTCTTTTTAAAAATGCTGCCTTTAATTATGGCTTCACTTTCTTAGTGTCGTTTTTGCGTCTCTTCTCCGTCACGTTTGTCTTCTTTCTGTTAATTTTATGTGTTGTTCTTTATAATCATTAGTATCTTAGGGAAGTGATTCTTATTATTTCATTGCAGTGTGTATGAATCAAGAATCTGTTTTTGAAGAAACGTGTAACGCAAGAAACAAAATGGAGGGTTGCTTGATGGAGGTTCTTGTTTCTCGGGGGTTTTTCTTAAGGGTGATGCTTGCTGAAGGGGCTTGGTTTTTCTTTGTTTTTTTTTCAGGTAAATTTATCCTTACACTCTCCTAACCATAAGTTTTCTTACTCTTTTTCCTCAATCAATGTTTTGTCCCATTTGGGTTTTTCATTGATGGGGTTTTAACGAGGAGAAATTTATGGTTTCCCAAGATTGACTTGTTCCATATGGTTAATCTTATGGGGAGTGTAAGTGATTAGTGTTTATTTTTTGTTTTCTTTTTTGGATTTGATTTGTAAGGGGGTTTTGTAGCCTCTTAAAAACAGATGCACTTGTAATATGGTTTTTGTTTGAATTCAATTTTACATTCATTCAAAAAAAAAAAAAAAAAAAAAAAGAAACAACCATGCAGTGACTATACATAGACTACNAATTAATTAAAAAAAAAAAAAAAAAAAAAAAAGAAACAACCATGCAGTGACTATACATAGACTACATTTGATTCTTCTCCTACACTTTTATCTGATCCGGAAAGTATACTCGTTGAAAACAAAAGTGTATGGCTTTAGAATTAAGAGTAGTTTACAGTTTGTCCTATCTCGATCTCACATCAAAGCTTGAGTTTCCAGGGATGTTGCTGTTCTTGTTCTTGTTGTCATCATACTCTAGTGTCTTGAGATGCAAGCCACCCCTATTATTTTTACAATCGCCTATCTCCAGTTCCATATCATATCTACCCCCTCTTGGTCCAAAGGCTCTATCTAGCTCAGAAGCAATGGATCCTACCTCCGAATCAGATTCCTCTTGAGCCCAGTCTCTAAAGTTAATCATAGGAGGTGGTATTCTTGAAAAGAACACCTCAAGCAGGTTCTTGAAGAGACCCTTTCCGTAAGGGTTCTCTTTCTTGTCATACCGGTACCGAAAGCTCTCATAAGTTGTCTACAAAACATAGATTCATAACAACAAGAATCAGTACATAACATGTGATCCAAACACACAGGTGAAAAAAGGATCTTAACCTGATTAGTGCAGATAAGATAGAGGTGAAAAACAGTGAGTCCACCAACAAACCAGACGACAACAAAGCAGTAGAGGATGAGGACAATGAATATTATATCATCCGTGATGACCATCAACAACATCTTGCCGTGTACCTCAAGCATACTAACCCATGAGAAGACAAAGACGTACAAACAGAGGAGTGTTGAAGTTGATATGAAACATATGAAGTACCAATAGTTTCTCTGCCGTTTATATAAACACACATGTTAGATCACAGATTCATCATACTCTCACACACTTTTTTGTTTCACATGGAAAGACTTACTAGAGCGATGCATTGTCCCACCCATGGACAGTGATGATCAAATCTTTGGACACAGTTGTTACATATTGAGCAGTGTGAGGCGCGTGGAGGACGGTAAAGTAAACAAGTCTCACAGAATTTGACTTTGACTGTGTAGCCATTCACTAATACATCCTTGGTTCTAGGTAACTTTGTGTTCCTGAGCATGTTAAGAGCTTCTGATTCAGGTGCTTCTTTGTTCCTTGGGATGATCCCGGGGTCTCTTGATGAAGTTAAGAAGAGAAATGTGAAATCCTGTCAAGAAGATTAGGAGGTAGTGAAGAGAGGGCAAACGTGGAACACAAGAAAAGAGATAGACAAGTTATGTTTTTATTACCAAGACAATGAGCAAAAGGGAACCAATCAGTATAAGAGAGTGGAACACAGGAGAGGTCTTTCCGATCATGAAAGCCATTCGAATGGAGAAAGTGAGAGCAGGAGCTCCGATCATAGATGTGGTGAGGAGAAGTGAAGATGCATCTGGACCAAACACTAGTCTCCCTCCGCAACAAAACCTCTAAACATATGAAACAAGAAACAAGAAACACGACAAGTCATGCTAGTGAAGTAATAACTAAGATAGAAATCTTGACTATGCTAAATAAGAGCTAAAGAGCAAACCCTATCAAAATGTTTTTAAACCTCATGTGTTACAAAATTCAACTACACATAATGTCATTAACAGAGCGGTTCTGAGCATATCCGAGTAAAACATTGGCAATTGATCTCTAAAACTTTAAAAAAAAAATAATTTACATAGAAATAAGTCTCTCTTTATTTTAAAAAGATTATTAAAACTCTTATTAAATGTCTATGGCCTTCAAATACTCATCACGGCCTTGTTAAACAAATCAGAGTTTTAAGTATCAAATCAGTTCCAAGCATTATATTTTAGGATGGAAAAATGAACCCTAATTCACCAAACTCAGCTTCCAAAACAGAGCATGATCCGTGGTTTGCAAGAAAAAAGGACAAGACATACATTGTTGCCGGGCCAGAGTTGGTAGATCCTCTTGGGTTTAGGATCCTGAGAAGAAAACATGGTCTCGTCGTTGGAAGGAGCATTGTGGACATGACCTCTTTTCTTCCCCATTTACAATATTCTTGTTGTTGTTTCTTCTTCTTCTTCCTCAAGAAGCCTCAGAACTCCTCAACAACGAAATGGCCACAACATAATCCCCACATTTTCTCCTTGCCCGTATCGTTCGTTTCCACGGCCAGCGAATGAAACCGGAGATTTCAAATCGCTGCCGCCGGTAGTCTAGCTTCTTTCCTCCTCCTCGCCTAACTCTTATCTCTTGATTCTCTTCCCTGTTTCTAATTAAGCTTTGTTTTAAAAAAAAAAAGTTTCTCTCTCTGTTACATCCTTAACATAGCAATTCTTACAAAGCGTCTGTAACATCCATTTGTAATCGTTCTCTGATGTCCCTCCCGCACGCACGCGCCATTTTCTGTTTATTTTTTCTAGTTTTTATTGTGTGTTGAAAATTTTGTCTGAATTTAAATGTATGTGTATAGATGTCGTCCCTACATTCAAGTGCTCGTATACATTATCATAGAACTTGTAAAAACCAAAGGACATGAAATAAAGCTTGTTTTATGTATAGTACGTAAACAGTCCCACGTTGATAGTAACCGATGTATCTATACAAAAAAAAGTGATGGCGTTTGTGAGTCAACCAACCCATGAGGTGAAAGCTTCTATGGTTTCTAATTGACCCTGATCAATTTTGAAACTGAGAGCATCCGAAAAGTCGAAAATAACCTTAAGACCAGGACTAATCCATACGAACTCCTTAAAATTTATTCGAGTGCAAAGTATCCAATGGGCCTCGGCCCGTTAGAAATATTAACCTTTTTTCAGGCAACTTTTTTTTTTTCCTTAATTGGGTGTTCTGTCTGAAGGAAGCGGCCATTGAAACGCCACGAAGCCTTCTCCCCTCTTCTTTCCCTAAAAACAAAGAGATCCTCTACCATATTCCAATCTCCTTTTCTCGATGTTACTCTCACGACCACATAATCGCACACACAAAAGCAATCTCATGTGTTTAACGCTTCTGATTTAGCTTCAATCTCTTTGAAAACTCTCACACAAATCCTCCTTGATCCGTAATGGTGGATCATTACCAAGTCCTAGGCGTTAACAGAAACGCGACGAAGCAAGAGGTCAAAGAAGCGTTCCGGAGATTAGCCGTGAAGTATCATCCCGACAAGCACACACAGTCTCCTGATCACGTTCGGTTAAACGCCACCGTGCGGTTTAAGCTTGTCTCCGAAGCGTACGATGTATTGAATGACGATCGCAAACGCGCGTCTTATAACGCTGTAAATGATTCCGATTGCTTTCGCCGTACAGGCGGTTCGTATAGCAATCCGTACGGAAACCGCAGTTCTGGTTACGGTAATGGTTCTGGTTATGGTTATGGTTACTCTGCGAGGAGTCGTCAAGGGTCTAGTTTCAGTAGCGGGTTTGAGTCGACGTTTAGGTACTTGACTACACGCGCGTTTCTACTTAACCTCGCGTTAGCTGGGTATGTGACAACACTTTTTGGCTTCAGCTTTTCTTACATTAGTAAATTACTTTTGTCTGGATTTCGAATAATTTGTTTTTGTAATTAATATGAATTACTTGTGAATATACTGCTTTCATGTGAAATTGTGAATGTTGATTGTATTTTGCTAAATGATGTCAATTAGGGATTTTCAGACTCAAAATTTTAAGTGTTTAATATGTATATAGATTGTTCTGAATCTAATAGATGTATTGATGATTTAGTTTTTAATATGTAAATTGTTTCAAATCTTATCAATTTCAGAACTGGCCTTTGATTGCAATGAAGCGTCATCTGGTTTTAAGCTTAGCTAGAGTGTTAGAGTTATGTCCCCATTGTAGTTTGTTAGTTTTTAGTGCAACTATGTGGGATGAGACTATACATTATTATTATAGATGTGATGGTCATGCTTCATTTTTTTTTGTTAGCTAAAGAAATTGTTTTTTTGTTGTATTTGGATTGGAGCTTCATTTCTTGAGGACAAGTTTTTTTGGGTTTTAGTAGTTTAATTGTCTGATTGATTCTTGGTTTTGATCTTATTTGAGCGGCTATGATCTATTCAATGTTTTATATTTACCCCAACACTTCTCTTGTCTTTTCTTTTTACAGTGGTATGGTCTTTGCCTTTAGTGCTATTGATACAAGCGGAGAAACATTATGGAAAATGCGCAACTCCGGGGTGAGTAGTACCATGTTTTGATGATCCTGCTTTTGTTCTGTCTTTACTATAAAACTCAACTAGGTTGTTCCTGTTTAAGATGCTCCATCTGATTGTTATAAGATTGATGTTCTTGTGAGCTTGATGCTACTCTCTCACCCTTGCATTATCTAGTTTTGTCTCCATAGTTAGTTCTGTGATTTTGTCCACAAACTAACAGTTTCTGGTAAGTTCATATGCACACACGTTAGATTCAGAAGGACGATCTTACTGAGAGAATAAACAGTGACCTATTTGCTCTTTGCTAACATATGAAACCATATATGAGAACGTTTTCTCTCTCAGTCTCTAGGGCTCAGTGTAGGGTTTGGCAGAAAGCATAGATGCAGAAAATATTCAAAGCAATGATTTGATGATTCACATCATGAGAGAAGATGAAAATGCATCTTTGTTCAGAAACCTGAGTGCGTGATAAAACAGTTTGCATATGTTATTTTTTTCAGAAATCATTTGAAGAAGCAATGGATTCACTTGAGAAAACAAAGGTACATAAGGATGAAGGGTGAAAGTAAGGATCCAGAGGTACTCAACTTAAAGACTTAATACATATACTTTTTCTTAAAATTTTTGTAAATTGAAATCATAATAGCTAAAAAGGCACTTTTATTAATCGATTTATGAGAGTTAATACTTCACGCAATTGCATTTTAGTGCATGACGGCAAGCAAAGATGAGATGTTGTAATAAAAACAAATAAAACTTTTGGCGTTTGTATCAGTAATGGAGACAAATAATTGTAGTGGTGGGTAACGTGTTTGGTTATCTTATATTAAAAGATTTTGATAAGATATATATTCCCTACTCCACTAAAAATATCTGATAGTTCATTATAGTAGTTTCTTTTTTCAACTGTGAGAAGAAGACTAACATTATTAATCAATGGGCAAAATTACATATGGTTTCTAAATAGTTATTTACGTTGAACATGTAATTGAGCTTTATACTCAGTTCACTAAACCATGGCTCGAGCTTAGCTAAAGATTTAAATCAACAAAACAAATTACATATCAGCTTAATAATTTTTAAAAAGTCAACCGATTAAGTAGCAAAATCTATGAACAAGATAATTCATTATGAGATGCAAATTATAAAAAAAAAAGAGTTAAAAGATTACAAACAACTTAAAAGGAATCACATAACCTTCCACGACTCAAGCGTCGGAAAACTTGGGTAAGGATCAAACTCCGCAGCTGAACCACCACTCTTTGCATTAGCTTTCGCCGTAGGTATTAATCCCACGGCGTCACCACCGGAAAATGTATTTCCCACCACGAGATTCTCATGGTGATGAGTAGACAAAAATGCAGATGTATCCAACGTTGGAACCGACGTGGAGGTAGAAAGTATGTTGACGAGTCTATGTGGCTCAGGCTTGACGATGATCGGAGTAAATAGCATCGAGGAAGTGTCGTTGATGTACTTGGCGCCAGTCACTTGCTGAACCATTTGGCGGAAGTTTGATGGATCTGCTGTTATGAACGTGGTTTGAGGTTTCTTGGAAGCTCGTGAGCGGCGTTTCATGATGGCTTTACCTTCGGAGCTAGTAGGGATGCTGTTATGTTTTCTTTTAGCTCCTCCGCCGATGATTTCTTGATCGGATCCACCGGAGGAGATGTTGGAGGAGAGTGTGTGAGTTGAGGAGTGGAGGAAAACAGAGGAGGGGGAGAGAGTATGTGGTGTTGGTGTTGGTGTTGGTGATGAGACGGTGTTATGGAGAGCTTTGGTGAGTAAATCATTGTCGTGAGAAAAGGCGTCATGAAGCAACCAAGAATCCACGTTGAATCTTTGTCCAGACAACCAAGGTTCGACGCTTGCTAAACCCTCGGAAGAAACCATAATTAAAGAGAATGCAGAGAGTTTCTTCTAGAAGGAGAAGAAAATGATAGAGAGAAAGAGAAAGAGTGGTAAGAAATGAAAATGGGGCCAAAGATATTTAAATAAGGACAACGTTTACAGAGAGAGAGAGAGAAGGAAGCGATGAAAGCGCGTTGAGCGGAGAGTGATAGAAAATGACCGAACATATTGGTTTTAGCTCTTTTCTTTACGCTCCAAGAGAGACCGTAAACAAGACATCAGTGTATCAATCTTTTTTTTTTTTTATAAACTTGATAAAATGAAAGCTGGTGAAATTTTTTACTGTCGATGGAAATGATTAAATGTGTGTAATTATGTATAAAAGTCTGATAAATTTCGAAAGAAAAAATCAGAGTTGTAGCTAATTATATTCAGTTAAATACAGTTGTTTTGATTGATAATTTTTTATACCTTTTAATTGTTTTTTGTAAAAAGGATGAAACTATTAACCATATTGTGGCGGTCTACACTGGTTCGTTAGACAACAAAGTATAAATAATAATTCGTGTGATTTTTTTTACCAACTAGTCATGTGATTTTTTCTTTTCTTTTGGTGATAGTTTTTATAAGAAAACTTGAAATTTAAATGTTTTTTATATATATGTAGGTTTTATGCGAATTTATATTCATCTGGACCCTACGCGGTGAGATCATGCAGATAAGCCAAAACATAGAGAAAATAATAGGAAGAAAGAAGCGAGGTCAATTTCCAACGGCTGACTCATAATTAAGTATTTGTTACTCAGTGGGACACAACCAAACGACTAGAGGAAAATAGAATCGATCGTTATCAGCTTCGGTCTTTCTTTTGCACCCTTTGATATTTCACTAATCTACGTTTGAGTGGTCGCATCTCGCATTAATTACATATGGGAGACCTTAACTTTGTTACAAATGCTAATTAACAATAGAGATACTATATGATAATGTGATTAATTTCCTATTCGTTTTGATCCATGTAACCATGTCTGTTTTTTTCTTCTTCTGCAGACTAATTGAGTTAATATTAATGAATACCGTTTGGTTTTAATATTTATACGTAAGAAAAACATAAGGTAAAATATGTCTATATATTGTTCCTTTTTTAGAAACATCATCTAATCTTATGTGAAACAAAATTGTCATTTTGAATTTTCTAATATTCAAACTTATTCGTCACGATGCTTCCTTCACTCACGTTGCCTAACAAATGTGATTGTATGTATCTTTTCTATTTGGCAAATGTAACGTTTTATGTATAGCTAATCTAAAATTTACTCCATGACTATCAAGTTGTCAAAATTAGGGATAACATTATATAAGTATATGTTCAAAAGAGTAGGAAAAAATCGAGACAAGCATGGAATTAAAATAGTATCAAAAGTAGGCTTTATTCAATTAAAGATGTAGAAATTCAATTATCCAAAATATACAGTAGTTGACTTCATTCTCCAATACATATAATATTTAATATCAATTAAAGATACGGTGGAATCTAGTTGGATAATTGATATCTTTATGACAACTAGTAGAATGGGATGATCATTCCGTTGATCACGTACATTTGTTTCTGGAACATGAATACTATTCGATGACCAGCATTGAGCTTCGGAGGTTGGATCATTGTGACCACTCGTTTAATATTCAATCAAATTGAAAATCGATCAAATTCCATTTCAGCACAATTAAGAGGTAAACAAACTGTATAGGTTATAGAAAACACAATAGAATTGAATAGTTAAACACTTATTGTTCTTCTTATATGTATATTCATGGGAATGACAATGGTAAATAATACTACGCCATCGCTTTATGTTTTGTATTTTCCGTACATTATTAGTGGTTCATTGTTTACATATTTTTTTGGTAGATTTCCATCGTAAGTTAGTGTTATATACTTTGTTAGAAATTTCTCGAATTTATATAGTATTCAAAATGACTCGAGGACTATTCAAAACGAAGAAAAGAAGTAAAAAAGAAGCTAGGCTAATAGACGCCATCAGTGATGTCAGCAAATTTAGGGGTTGTAATGATGAGGAGATGATGACGAGACTCCAAGCATGTGATGATCCATGAACCGGTCGTGTCCTTTCCTCTTTCACGGAAAGATCTTCTTTATAAATTATTACCAAACAACTGACATTCCTCTCCGCCTCTCCTGTCTTTCAACTCGGCTTCCTTACTATACCTTTTGCTAATATTTTACACTACATGAGTTTTGTTAGTAAACGTTTTTAGACTAAAATATTATAAACTAATCAAAACCGGTAAAAAGAAACATTTTAAGGTACAATTATAGATCTCAGATTTAGATAATGTGTTATGTTATGCTATCAATGTTAACCATATAAATTTATGATTTATAATATTATTTTAAGATTATACAGGAGTATTCTAGGTTGCACCGAAGTATATCTAGAGATGAATCTTTGCAGTCTATCCACCTGTGAGTTATCTGTCTTTGGTGATGCGGAAATGTAAATTTCTTCAGTGGCCAACAGAAACTGAAACTGGACCGAATCAAAATGTGCATGAAAGATTAGTGGTTTTCCATTAGAACAAACAGTATTCATTCTTCGTAAAGAAAGAGACCAAACTGTTTCTTTGTTAACTTTCTATAACAAAGGGCTTTTCAATAATGGGCCTTAGTTAATGGGCCTAACTGCTTTATCGCGGGAAGTAAATCTAGGGCTCGGTTCATCTCCGCGACTCGCAATTTCTGCTGAATTTTGATCTGTAATACGTTGGAGCTCTGTTTCTGGGTTTCTCTTTATCTTCAGACACGATTGGGAGGTTAAGGTTAAACTAAAGTAATGGGAGAAGAGCTGCAACATCAGAACAATCCATCACTTTATAACCAATCAGCATCTACTTACGGCTATGGAAGCTCGATAGACATTGAATCTGCAGCAAGCAAAGCTGTTCTTCGCGAACAAGTTCGTTAATTTTTGTCTCCTTCGATTAAATTTCAAAACTTTTGCTACCGGATCACTTTATTGATTTTGTGGTTTGAATTATTTTTGCAGGAGATTGAAACGCAGAAGATCATACAAGGTCAAAGGTTCTGTCTTATTTTCTTACTTTTTTTTGTCTTTGTATCCAATCTGTTAAGACATCATCTCTTGTCTAATGTGATATTGTCTGAACTGGAATTTTTTTTTTTTTCAGAGAGGCTGGGACTTCAGTAGATGGAGAAGATAACACTGACATTCTTCGTCAACGTGCTGACCCCAATGCTTTAAAGGTTTTCTTGATTCATCTTATCCTCAAGTAGCTAACGTTTTTCAGTTGAAGTGGAACCTAAGTTTTATTGGTTTTCTACATAGGAACATTTGCTAAAATTCACTGCACATCATCGGGCAGAAACAGCATCAAAACGTGGGAGTGTGAGTACATGTGGAGAAGGTTAGTTTCATTTAGCATTTTTGGAATAAAATCTAGCCAGTTACTAATTTTATGTGTTCCCAAAACATAGGTAATGTGGATGTTGGGAATGGTTATGGTATACCGGGTGGAGTTGCTTACGCAAGCCACTCCCAGATCAGTGAGAAGCCTGAACCTACTGATTATCTGCCTGAATATCTCAAACTTAAATTAAAGGCCAGGGGGATTCTCAGAGATGGTTCAGGGGCTGTTACATCTAACGCTCAAGATGTAAGTATCCTTCTCTTACACTGTGTGACATATGTTTCCTATGACTTAACCATGTTTCAACCCTTTTGTTTGATTGTGATTCTTCTCCTTTCCAGGCATTAGCAGGTGATTGGAATAAGCCACCTTTTCCGACGAATGCAAGCACCTTACCATTAGGATGGGTATGAATGAGATTCGATTTAACTTATTTTCTTCTTAGCTTTTATAGTTGTTAAGCCATTTAAACTTGTTCGGTTTCATTCAGGTAGATGCGAAAGATCCTGCTTCTGGTGCTACATATTACTATAACCAGCATACCGGGGCAACCCAGTGGGAAAGGCCTCTTGAGCTACCTCCCACCGTTTCAAGTGCGCCACCACCTCTGCCTCCTAAAGAAGAGTGGATTGAAACACTTGATGAAACATCTGGTATGTGATTAGCTCTTTACTCCATACACGTATCAGTAAATAAACTTTGCCTTTTCTGCTGGAAGTTTGTACTCTCTTTGACCTTATTATTCCTAATGCACAGGTCATAAGTATTACTACAATACAAGGACACATGTATCGCAATGGGAACCTCCAGCTTCTTTAAAGAAGACTGCTACCACGAACACCAACAACACTGTCACCCAAACTACTGCTAATGGGAAGAAGGAGATTCAGCCCTCTCAGCTGCCAAGATGCAGCGGATGTGGTGGCTGGGGAGTTGGCCTTGTCCAGAGCTGGGGTTACTGTGCTCACTGTACCAGGTTTGTCATTGTTTTGCTAGACTTTTGAGTTCTATTGCTGCATAGAAACTGCTTTCAGTGAAGAATGTTAAAAATGTGCACCACTCTTACTGTGTCTTGCTTCTTCTTTCCTGGTTGAGTCTTGTGTTATTAGAAAGCATATAAAAGAGGGCCTCAAGACCATATTAAACAGACTCTGTTCACTTGCATATTTCGAGGCTTATGTCTCTCTGCCTTTGGTTAAGGGGACTCATACTGTTTATGGAATGCAGAGTTTTCAATCTCCCAGAGCTGCAGTACTTAGCATACGTCACAAATGCAGGAAAGTCTGTCCAAAACGATCCTAATCAGAGGTAAGCATCTCTCAGAATTTTAGTAAAGATCGGTCTGGTCCGTCATTTTTCTTAAAAGCTGAGTGCTTCATACGAGAGCTAGTTTTGGACTCTGGTGATCTCTGTTAATAGATGGTTACATGCCACCACATGTAGTAGTGAACCAGGAGGTTCCCGTGTACCAGATTTACGTTTCACTTACTCTTCTGGTTTAGTCTTGTGATGCAAAAATGGCAATGATTTGAAACAGGTCAAGTTCAAAACCTCCGGTGAAAAAGGGAGCAGGCAAAAAACGTGCGCATGCGGATGATGATGAGGTTGACCCAATGGACCCAAGCTCGTACTCAGATGCTCCACGTGGTGGCTGGTAATGTCCATACACCCGTTTTAATCACTCAATGGATCAGCGTTAGCTATATACAGTTCTATATTATGATGAACCAAGCTTATTATGATCCTAGGAATCATAACGTGGGGTTTGATCAGATCTCTTCAAATGAATCTTATCTTGTAGGGTTGTTGGACTGAAAGGAATGCAACCACGAGCCGCTGATACAACTGCCACAGTAATGCCACTTGTTTTTTTAGTTCGAAAGCATCAAACCATAAATAGTTGCAGCTTCTCAAGAAATCTAGTTGCTAACTTAATGAGATGGATGTGTGTGTTTTCAGGGTCCTCTGTTTCAACAGCGACCATATCCATCACCTGGAGCTGTTCTAAGGAGAAACGCTGAGTCAGCAACACCGCAGAAGAAGAAACCAAACTCTCATTTCACGGAAATCACAAAGAGAGGCGATGGAAAAGATGGTCTTGGGGATGCAGATTGAGAGAGAGAAGACACTTGTTCTTGCCTCGTATGTTTGCTTTTCTACACATACGTGTATGATCTTGAAGAGAGTAGTTTGTTTACTGGTCTAGTGAAAAAAACGTAACCATACTTTAAATGTGAATTAGCAACACGTTCATTCCATAATCTATAGCAACTTTATTTTCAGGATCTGTTCTATCTTCAACAGTAGAGCTGAGGTTTGGTTAGTTCTGTTCAAACCGAAGGAACCAAATAATTGCATTGTGATGACATGCCATTCCAAGCCAAGGATTGAATCATGCGGACCCAATTTAGCCAAGAGTTATAATAATAAACACTCACTCATTGTCCTTTTATTCGTGTGTGTATGGTTGGTGAAAACGAGAAGTATATGCGTCACCTTTTATTACGCCTTAAAAGATCTCAACACACATTTTTTGCTTTCATACTTTTGTAACACTGTTTACAAGAAACTTACTTTCAATCTTCTTCTGTATAAATCACCATCACAAACCATCTCTCTGCTCGTTGACTCTCTTTAAGCTTTCTCTAATGGCGATGGCCTCACTAACAACGTCTTCTATAACTCTCCTCAACAAGCCTTTCTTACCTAACCGCTCTTCCCTCTCATCCTCTACCTCACACTCTCGTCTTTACCGATTCTCTTCACCTGCTTCCTCTGTTCGTTCCCGCTCATCTGCCTCCATACGCGCCGTTGCTCTTGAACCGGTTAGCTCCTTTCTCTTTCTCTTAATGATTGTAAAAAAGAACTCTCTCAGTTATCATTCTTGTAATATCTTACAGGAACTAAATGAAACTCCAAGTTCCGACAAGAAAGACACTGAAACTCAAAGCATTGAAGTTGAGCAGACACAAGTGTTCGCGTGTCCTGTTTGTTACGAACCTCTTATGAGGAAAGGTCCTTCAGGTATTAACCTGTAAGTTCTCACCTCCCCTTATTATAAAGTTTGTTTCCTTTAAGTGACTTCTCTGTAAGAAATTTTTTAATTTTGTTGTTGTTATTGTAAACTCTTGCAGACAAGCAATCTATAGGTCAGGTTTCAAGTGTGGACAGTGTAACAAGACATACTCTAGCAAAGATGAATACTTGGATCTTACTGTCACTGCTGGTTTTGATTCTTTCAATGAAGTCAAACCCATTACTACAGAACTCTTTCGGTATTTGGTTTTGATCATCTTGACTGTTTTTCTTGTGTCTTAATGTTCAATAAATCACTAGGTGGTACCTAGGCACTTAATATTAAATTATTGATTAGGCGGACGCCTAGACCGATTTTTAAAAATATTGTTTAAGAAAATCATTTCGTTCAAGTTAGATTTGCAGCCTAGTGCTGCTTGCTAGACTGATTATTAGAACATTGCTTGTTTGTTTGTTTGTTTAGGAGTCCATTAGTATCATTCTTGTATGAAAGAGGATGGAGACAGAACTTTGCTCGAAGTGGGTTTCCTGGTCCTGATGAAGAGGTACATGGAACCACCTTTTGTTTCTTCTTCCCTGCATCTCATGAGGTATAATAATATATGAGTCAAAAACTGTAGTTTAGAAGGGCTGAGGAGTACTTCAAAGAAGCAGAAGGTGGTGTTCTTGTGGATGTTAGCTGTGGAAGCGGTTTATTCTCAAGAAAATTTGCAAAGTCTGGCAAATACTCTGGCGTGATAGCTCTTGACTACTCTGAAAACATGCTTCGCCAGTGTAATGAGTTCATCAAGAAGGACACAACTTTCAACAGCTCGACTAACATAGCTGTTGTCAGAGCAGACGTTTCTCGTCTCCCTTTCCCTTCAGGTTCTGTTGATGCAGTTCATGCTGGTGCTGCATTGCATTGTTGGCCTTCTCCTACAAATGCTGTAAGCAAATCCTTTTCTAAATTTTGATCATAAAGCTTGTTGTGATGTTTTTTTTTTTTTTGTTGTTACAAGATTGCTGAGATATGTCGTGTATTGAGAAGTGGAGGTGTTTTTGTTGGGACAACGTTTCTAAGATACAGTCCTTCCACTCCATGGATTATCAGACCTTTTCAATCGGTAAAGAGAATGATAAGAATCATTTCTATGTTGTGTATAGAGTTTGGATGTTTATAATTAGTTTGGTATCATTTTGCAGAGGATTCTGCAGAACTACAATTACTTGATGCAGGATGAGATCAAGGATGTGTGTACAACATGTGGTCTTACAGATTATGAAGATATTGTTCAGGATTCTTTTATAATGTTTACTGCTAGGAAGCCATAAAGATATGCTCTTTGCTACCTATTCATGTAACTTGTTGTATAGACAGAAACAAAAGTTGTTATAGTAATAAAGAGGAACATGATATATAAAACTTGAAGAGGATGGGAGCGTAGATAGTGAAACCGTAGCTTGCAAAACCTGCATAGAATCTATAGGTAATGAGTTTTTTTTTTTAATTGCATAAGCTGTGATTACTCTCTTCAGGAAACATGTGCTAATCTTCCTTGCAACTTTAATCATATTACTAAATTTTGATCTGTGTTTTGAAAGCGTGAATCATCTATACTATTAAAGGTGAAGTACAAAAAATTAATGTTTGGAAACATGAATAGGTATTTAAAATTATAATGATTGGAAACAAGGATAGCCTACAAATCTAATGGGCCTAAAATTATTATTATTTTTGGGTTTCTATCATTGATATTATTTTATTTCTGAAAATTAGTTATACATATATGTATTCATGTTTTAAATGTATTTAAAATAAATCAAGAATAATATATATTTTATTTATATAATTTATATTGACTATTGTTATAAATTTTTAACAGTGATATACTAGCCTTTCAATTCTTCATTAAAAAATTAACTTAAAATTTGAATAAATTGTTTAATGTATATAACTTTGCACCAAATTTAGCAAANATGTATTCATGTTTTAAATGTATTTAAAATAAATCAAGAATAATATATATTTTATTTATATAATTTATATTGACTATTGTTATAAATTTTTAACAGTGATATACTAGCCTTTCAATTCTTCATTAAAAAATTAACTTAAAATTTGAATAAATTGTTTAATGTATATAACTTTGCACCAAATTTAGCAAAAAAAAAAATTATAAACTATTAATAAAATGTTTACGGGTCACAATATTTTGCGACGCCCCTGTTACACAATACAGTGATGAAATACAATGTTTAAATAATGTACTATTACTTAGTCAAATCGGAACCATTAAATTGTAATTTCTGAAATATTTATATATACCATAAAAACAAATACCCGCCCAGTCGGGCGGGTTATGATCTAGTTCTTTTGTTATAATATAATACAAAAGTCATTAAAGATGATGTGTTTTTATTTTTTATTTTTTGGTCAAAGATGTGTTTCTATTTTAAATTTATTTATTTATTTTAATGTAATTGTGATATGATTGTCCGTTTCAAAACAAAATTGAGTTTTCCTACTATATATCTAAATAGAATATTTATTAAAATGGTTTATCATGGCTACGGGTGATCCATGTTTTAATAATGCATTTATTTGTTTATAAGATTCAATTTGAAAAGTAGAAAGATTTTGACTTATTTTTTCAACGCATCAAATAAATTATAATAAAATTCTATTTTTTTATATTTTAAAATGTTTGAATTTGTATATAATCTATGTTCATTTCGTATGATCTATTTTAATTATTTAAGTGAGATAAAACTTTGGATCTTTTAAGAAAAAATTAATATTGTGATATATTCCATTTTCCCTCTAGATTAAAGTTAAATAAGAAATCATTTATTATAAATGTTACTTTTATTGTTTTATTAGAATTGTAAAAATAATTCGATTACATATATTTTGGGATGTGTAAAGAAACATTCATTTAATGGAATTAATATGTGTATTTGTTATTCTTTTGTTTGAATTTAATAAAGTGAGTTTGCACAAAAAGTGTTATATTAAAGTTTTGTTTCATACCAGTGATCTCAGTTTTATCACTTTCTTTTGATTTTTGCATCTTTTCTTTTATTTCTAGAGAGAAAAATAGATATGTTGACTCTCCGGCCAAGGTTTATCTCTCCAATAGATAAATCAACAGCCTTTGCGCCAAGCAAATCAATCTGGATCTGAACCAAAATCTTTTTTTTTTAGCTTAACGAATTTCAATTGCTAAAAAAGATTTTGACCTGTTTTTCAATATCTTATATTTTAAATCTTTATATATAATCTATATTTAAATTCGTATAATATATTTTAATTATTTGTAGGTAAGATAAAATTTTGGATCTTTAAAAAAAATTAATATGTGATATATTTTATTTTTTATTCTAGTATAAACTTAGATGAGAAATCATTTATTATTAATGTTATTCTATGTTTTATTAGAGTTGTAAAAATATTTAAATTTTGATTTAAGAGTAAAAATGGAACACTTGTTTTAGAATGTGTAAAATAAAATTAATTTCATAATCTATAGTATCATATATAATTTCAAAACTGTTTTTATAATAGAATTAATATGTGTATGTGTTATTTTTGTTTGAATTTAATTAATTGAGTCTGCACAGAAAATTATTATAAGTTTTGTTATAATCATATCTAAAGTTCATCCACTATGTTAATATGATGACATTATATGCTATCACACCTACAAAAAAATTTATTCAAACCAAATCACATGTGAAACTATATTAGGCAATTTAGAATTTATTAAGATATTGACATTTGCTTATTAAGGATTATTATTTTCAAATCTTCTAACAGTCTCTTCAAGATAATGTAGACAACTACTCCCTCTGTTTCAATATAAGTGTCACTCTACAGCTATGCACACGGATTAAGAAAATAATTAATTTTACATATTTCCTATATAAAAACACAATTACTCATACACCTAACCATATTTTAACCAATAGAAAAACAAATTACATAATAAAATTAATAAATTTTACATTGAAAACCGAAAACGACACTTATTTTGTAACACAAAAAATTCTCTACAATGACACTTAATATAAAACGGAGGGAGTAAAATTTAAATATTTAGAGAAATCAAAGTGGATGTAAACAAAACAGTTGTTTTAGATTAATAAAAAAGAAAATATAAGTAGAATGAGATGAATCATTCTGATCAGATCAAATCAAAATTGTATTTTGTTAGCCAAGTCTTTAGACAACTTCTGCAGTTGCATGTTTCTTTTTGTCAGAATCATAGACTGACCTAGGTCTGAACATTTTAAGTATCAGTTCGGCTTGAGTATTTTGAATAGTAGATAGTTCAGATAGAGATTAGAAGATCAATTTACTATCTTTTATATTTTCGGTTTGTTTCACCTACTTTCGGGTTTACTGCAATTACTCATTTCAATTTATGTTATTGAATAACTGCTACCATTCTAATGTTAACATTCCATTTTCTTATTTCCTTTCATTTAGAGTATTCATAAAATCTATTTTCAATCACAGCTTAAAAACCAAAAAATATTGAGAAAAAATGTGTTCTCATTTGGTTTTGATTTTGGTTTAGTTATTTTGGGTAAACTAGTAAGTGTTTTGAGTTATAATTTTTTTTTAATAGATGGAAAAAAATCTGTATATTTTTCTGTAGTTTGAATACTTTATAATATTTGCTTTTTTTTTCTCAAATATTTCTGAATTCTTTCAATAGATTTTAAAAATATAAATATATATTTAATTATATTACATGTATATACAATTAATATTTTTAAATAATCTGGCATCTGTTTGATTCCAGGTTTATTGGTTAATTTGGATATAGAGATTCACTATTCTGATTATTTGAAGGTTTCATCTGATTTAGGTTTTGGGGTTTTTTTTTCCCAGATTGACAAAGTCAACTTACATGTTATATGGGCCTTAAAGTCCAACATTTCTCAGGCCCAATATTCTCAAAATGGGAAGGGGTCTCTTTCTCTCTCTCTCTCTCTCTCTCAAAAGACAAAATGATAAAATCCGTGACCTCCAATTCAATTCGCAATTATAAGAGAATAAACTCAGATTCTTTTTAAGGAAGGAAGAAACTTGAAAATTTTGTAAACCCTAGAAGACACCAATTCCTCCATGGCAGAAAGGAAGCGAAAGCTCGAACCTCAATCCAACGACGACGACACCACCACCACAGAACCCCCACACAAGCAGCTCCAATTCGAGAACGGCGACGAAGAAACCACACAGATCCACGAAAACGACGACGTAGACGAAGAGCCAATCGAAGATCTCCTCGAACCGTTCTCCAAGGAACAACTCTCGATTCTCCTCAAAGAAGCAGCTACGAACCACCCCGACGTCGCCGATCGGATCCGGATCGCCGCCGACGAGGATCCGGTCCACCGCAAGATCTTCGTCCACGGATTCGCGTGGGACACCAAAGCCGACGCGCTGATCAAAGCGTTTAAGCGGTACGGAGAGATCGAAGATTGTAAATGCGTCGTCGATAAAGTCACGGGGCAGTCGAAAGGATACGGTTTCATTTTATTCAAGTCACGTGCCGGTGCACGTGCCGCTTTAAAGGAGCCTCAGAAGAAGATTGGGACACGTGTCGCCGCGTGTCAGTTAGCTTCGATGGGACCTGTTCAGGGAGGGAATAGTAGTGTTGTTGGTGGTGGTGGTGGTGGTGGGGGGAGTTCTCAGCATTTTAATCCTGAGCATGTGCAGAGGAAGATTTATGTTAGTAATGTAAGTGCGGAGATTGATCCGCAGAGGTTGTTGGAGTTTTTCTCGAGGTTTGGGGAGGTTGAAGAAGGGCCCTTGGGGCTTGATAAAGCTACTGGGAGACCTAAAGGTTTCACCTTGTTTGTTTATAAAACTGCGGAGAGTGCTAAGAAGGCGTTGGAGGAGCCGCATAAGAAGTTTGAAGGTCATGTTTTGCATTGTCATAAGGCGAATGATGGGCCTAAACCTGTTAAGCAGCAGCAGCGTCAACATCACCAGAGCTATTACAGTCAGGAGTCACGTTACCAGAGGAGTGAAGATAGTGGTTACGGTCATGGGGGTTTTGTAGCTGGTGGGAATAATAACCAGGGGTTGAATCCAGCTATTGGTCAGGCTATTACGGCTTTGTTGGCGTCTCAAGGTGGTGGTGTGGGTATGAACCAAGCGTTTGGACAGGCTTTGTTGGGGAGTTTGGGGGCGTCTAGTCAAGGAAATGGAGGTGGAATGCCAAGTGGCTATGGGGTTCAAGCGAATATTACACCAGGGGTGTATCCTGGGTACGGTTTCCAAGGTGGTTTTCAGGGAGGTTATGAGACGCAGCTTCCTGGTCAGGGAGGTTATCAGAGTCAGCAACCTGGTCAGGGTAGTGCTGGAAGAGGACAGCATGGTTTGGGGTATGGTGGTCAATACATGTAACCACTCAGGTATACATACTTCTGCAGCTTATTTTTGAAGCTTGTATATAAGACATTGGTCTTGCTGTGTTTTGTCAGTTAATGTTTTTGCAATTTTGGTGTTACAGACTCATGAGTTCGTTGTTTTGTTCGGTTTTGCACCAGTTTTTGTTGTGAAAGTCTTGTCTTATTTTCTCAATTCATTGTGCAGATAGTCCTAAACAGTGTTTTTAATATTGGCCTGGTGAATCTTCTCAAGTTATTAAGGAGCTGATGCAAATGGAGTTATTTAGTTTTCGGATGAAATGTTACTCTTTACGTTTCTTCAAAGGCCATGACTCTTCAAACCTTTCAAGAAGTTTTAGTTTTCCCAACTCTTTATAAGATATTCCAAATAAGCTATTCTGGTTCAACAACTTTCGTCGGCTGTTTTATCTTTGTGGAACGATTTCATTTGTAAAAGTTATACAGTGTTTATGTTTATCGTTTCTGATTTCTCTCGGTTTAGATTCGTGTTTTCCCTTTTTCGTTTTATCAGACTCTAATTTTTATTGGTCCTCTCTATGTTTCGTGGTTTTGTTGTTTGGTTCTCCCATGAACTTAATATTCGAGGCATACTATGTTTCTGTACAAATGAATGTATATTGCGTATTATCTTGTCGTGAGCATGTGATATTTGCTTAAATCTTACTCCTCTCGCAGGTATTTTGACTGAAGGCTGAATGGTACATATGCCCAACAAAATCTTGCAGGTTAAGCTTTTACCAATCCCAATTCCCTGACAAGAATATTGAATGCTACTTGTTTAGCTCTCTTCATAAAGTTTGAACAAGTCGTGCCATGCATCCTTCAAGCCTTGGGCTTGTTATAAAACTAGCGTTTATATTGTCTTCTCTTTGCTTGAAAACCATATATTTTGAATCGGTAAAACAATATGAAAGTAGGATTGTTCGGTCTATTAGTGTGTTTCTGTTGCATCATGTGAGTTTTGGTATGTCTTTTCAATTTAAAGATAAGTACAGCTTTTGTGTGATAGTGAATTATATGAATTCGAAATGTGTATTTGCTTTACACATAGAAATGCTTCCAGGCTTTGAACTACTGGGTTGTGTATTTATCTGTGGAATCAAGTGCTATCTACGGCTAGTTCACTAATATTGAGTTGAGATGATGATAATCAGTGGATACAACCTCTCTCTCTAGTTGTTCTTTAGACCACCACTTGGATAAAATTGCAATTAACTAGTGAAAGCTTATTATACACTTGATTCTTAAGAGAACTGTGTTAGCTACAGAAGTATAGAGGCTTGTATGTTGTTATTCTCTCTGTGACAGGATCAAACGGGATTCACTGGTCATCATATGTTCTCATCGAGTTCACCAGAAGGGGGTAGACTTTATACTCATTACACTAATGTTTATTTGATAAGAATGAATGCATTTGGAATCTAAGTCATAAATAAAGAAGGGAAAGATAAGGGGGGAAGCAGAAACACGTGGGAGAACATCCTGAAGAGGAAGCACACGCGGATCTTCATGCAACCCCGATTCTCTTCACCAACCAACCATCCATGTGGTCCCTTCCTCCCTTTGTCCCCTTCCTTCTCTTATACTCTTTTTACCATGCAAACGAATCTTTTTCTCATCAAATTAAAAGGTTACGTGATTATATAATAAGCAGACTACCTTGGATATTTGTTAGACAAAACCAAAGTACAAGGTTTATTAACTCGATATCACGTTTCCCTTGAAGTACTATTGATTCTTCTTTTTCCGGTATAATCTGAAAAGTAGCTTTGGATTGAAAATTCATTTAAGGCACAGTTTCAACTTCTAGTGTAACAGTTTCTTTTTTATGCATAAAGGCTCTTCTTTTCTTCTCTCTCTCTATCCACTCTCTCACGTGGTTAAATTAAGGAGAGAGAAGAGAATGTATGTTTTGATTTTTAATCTCTCCCTTCTGCACTGACCAAAGGTTTGCCTCAGACCCAACACTTGTACACGCAGAGAATCCGAGTTCCTTTCTTTCTTCTCTCTTCATCTGCTTGTTTATCTCCAGTTAGTTTCTTTCTTAGTTATCTTGAATGCTGCATGCAACTCATATTACCCCCTGATTCTCCCACACTGTTCTGCTCGCAGCAATGATGCCTTTGATTATTAGACATCCTCTGTAGTTAGGTGTTTAAATCGACCAGAGTTTCTAATTTGCATGTCATATATTCATTTTTTTTTCTCTCTTGTTAAAGGTGACATATGGGTTCTCTTAGAGGAAACGTTGAAGAGCCTATCCATCAGTCACTACCTAGACAAAACTCTCTCTACAGCTTAAAGCTGCATGAGGTTCAAAATCACTTGGGAAGTTCCTCAAAACCATTGGGAAGCATGAACCTTGATGAGCTTCTCAAGAGTGTCTGGTCTGCTCCAGAAGGAACAGATGAAGGGGTTACTCGTCAAGGAAGCTTGACTTTGCCTCAAGGCCTCAGCAAAAAGACAGTTGAGGAGGTTTGGAGAGACATTCAACATGACAAGAATGGAAGCAGTGCTAATCCTCATGGTGAGCAGCTGGATAATAACAATAAGCAGCCTACACTCGGTGAAATCACACTCGAGGATTTGTTGATGAAAGCTGGTGTAGTGACTGAGACAATGACAGTTCCTCTAAATGTTGTCAACGTAGCTTCAAATGGTCAATGGGCTCAGTATCATCAGCCTCAGCAACAACATCAAGGGTTTATGCCATATCCGGTTTGTGACATGCAAGAAATGGTGTCTCCAATGATGGGTGGATTATCTGATACACAACAAGTGCATGGGAGGAAAAGAGTGGCTTCATCAGCAGGAGAGTTTGTGGAGAGGATTGTAGAGAGGAAGCAGAAGAGGATGATCAAGAACAGAGAATCTGCATCACGTTCACGAGCTAGGAAACAGGTTAAAGAATAAAGAAGAATTTGTATGTTCTTAATTTTTGTTTATTGGTTTAGTAACATTGATTAATCTGTAATGCGCAGGCTTATACTCAGGAATTGGAAATCAAGGTTTCAAGCTTAGAAGAAGAAAACCAAAAACTTCGGAGGCTAATGGTAAAGAGTCCCATCTCTTCTTCTTTACTGTGCTGTAATCTCTGTTTAATGGGAACCATTTGATATAAGTGTGTGTTTTTAAACATATTGAATATTTGATTTGATTTAATGGCAGGAGGTGGAGAAGATCCTGCCAAGTGAACCACCACCGGAACCTAAGTGGAAGCTCAGGAGAACAAGCTCTGCTTCTTTCTGATCTTACAGGACTCTCTTTTGTCTTTTCTTGTTCTTCTTTGTGTTGGTTCATACTAGAGAGATACATATATATATATATTTGTATATTAGTGTATACTTTATTGGCTCGTCTTAAACATTTCCTTTTGCAGCTGGTTCAAATTTTGTGGTACTTTTACCTTTGCAGAAATGATTAAAATACTGTATTGTGGTTCTTTTATCAGTATAAGAAGATTAAAAACACTGGTTACAGGCCGAACTAGGTCACTTTTGTAACTGATCTCAGTTCTTGTTCTGATTTACTTATTAGAGAGGTCAAGGTTAGCAGGTTCATGCAGAAGCTATTAAGATCGGTGCCGGTGCTAGTTCTGTACTAGCTGTCGTTAGTTAGCATTTAATTAAAATGTGGGTGTCTTGAAGATGCAGAATCTGATGTCTGAAAACAGCAATGTATTTACTTTTAATATTGTGGATTTTTACAACCAAGAACCAAATTATCCTGGAGATATATATGTAGTGTAGATGTTGTACTCTGATTACTAATCTGTAATTACTATGCTGCTGATGCAGTGTCTCATCAAACTATGCATCATGGTTTTGTGGAATGCAAATCAGATTATTAAAGAATCATTTCTCTTAGGATCTCTCACCGCCTGTAAAAGGAATAAGGTGTTTATCGGTTGCGGCTAGAGTTGGGAGTTTGACTCTTGTTGGCTCAGAGGAGGAGCTTGAAGGAGAGAAGAGTATAACACTTGTTTCAGACATGCCATTGTTGAAATCAATCATAGTCTCTAAGCTGTATATACTCTCTCCAGCTGCATAACCACCCAACAGTTGATAAGATCTGTCTGACTGATCCATTGTCAAACACATATCTTCTGAACCTATATATCACACCACCATCAACCAACCATTTTAAAAATTCTTGAAATGTCAATATATAAATTCATTAACCGAACAGTTCTTATATCTCTAGAACCGAAAACCGAAAGCCCATGCCTAGGATTAGTTTGTACGGATCTACTAGTCCGGAACCTCTTAGTCATTAATAAAAAGAACTCAAAAACTTACAAGCAGCTAGTTCGAGCTGAGTTTGATAAACGAATTCAAGAACGGCAGAGACATCTCTCTCGAACTCTTGAAACGGACCGTTTTCGAAGTTCATCTTCCTTAGCTTACATACTCCTTCTCCTAACTCCATCATCGCTCCTTTATGATTCTACAAATTAACATTCATTTCATTAACAATCAAAATGTGGATGAAAGAAAGAAAGAAAGAAAGAAAGAGAGGAGTGGAGACTATATAGACGTTGTTAAAGAGATGGTGGAATCCAACGGCACACTGAAGTATCCCGTGGAACAGCGTTCGAGCTGGCTCCTCAGCTCGTATCCATAGTGCCTCGAGCGCGTCATGGCTTTTGTAATAATCTCTCTTGTTAAAGAGGGAGACAGCTTCCTCAAAGCTCAAGTTCTCATCCTCCTCGTCGTCTTCTTCATGTTCACCGGAGTGGTCGTTGTATCTTACGATGGACCGTCGACTGAAACAGAGTTTTGTGGAGACACGTATCGTTGAAGCAGTAGTAGTAACAGAGTGTGGAGAGAACGGAATTGAAGAGATGAATGAAGAAGAAGAAGATGGAAGAAGCATATAAGAAGAAGGAAGGTGGAGATGTTTAGGAGAAACTGCCATGAATTATCTCAAAAGTCTAAGTCTACTGCATGGTCCTGGTTGGTTCCTCCTCCTGCTTGCGCCATTTTTGTGGTCATCGTTCACCAAAACACTTTAAATATTGGGCCACTTATGGGCCTTTATAGATTTGATAAGGCCCATATTAATGGTGTTGTATCTTTTTTTGTGATTTACTTTCTTCTTTGTTATCATATTTGCAAAGTCTGAACTCTGAACTCTGGCCAACAATTAAATTAATACACTATTATCAATTTTGTTTGTAACGTAATACATTATTATCATGACATTTGCAACCCAAAGATATCATAAAAACTAAGCCATTCTCATTACAAGATCTTAATCAGTGTCTTAGGAGTAAAGAGAATACAAAAAAAAAACAGGCAAAAAGAGATAAAAACTGTATCTCAAAAGTTTGTAAGATACTCTCTAAATACTTATATGAACCATATTTCTTTGTTTGAGTGGTTATCTTTTATTTGAAAACAAAAGTATAACAAAAATCTAGCATTCATCTATTTTAGAGTAAGCTATTAGAATGAAATTTACTTCCATTTTTAGAAGAAACAAAATTGATAAAGAAAGAGAAGTGAATTGGAGATCTCTGCCACCTCTAATACCAAAAAAAAAAATCAACGAACTATTCACTTATTCAGTATGATAGATGGTGCCAAAACAATGACCTAAATTAAGTACCCTTCACAAATATTCCAAACTCTAATATCAACTTTTTCCCCACCAATATTATTATTTTCCAAAAAAGTAATTTTGTTTTTGTAGAACACTATTTAAATATCAACGTCTAATATTAATAAAATATTGATCTACAGTACCCATCTACTCTCTCATTTTACGTATATATAATCCATCTTTTAGGACAGAACCCACCGAAAGCTCCACAAAACTCCATTAAAAACAAAACAAGGCGGCGCAAAAGAAGAACTAAAAGATGCAACCAGAGACCTCAGATCAGATGTTGTATTCGTTCCTCACCGGAAACGAAATCTCTGATGGAGGATTCTGCGTTTCCGGTGACTACATGTCAACTATGCAAAGCTTATGCGGCTCGTCTTCATCCACGTCATCTTATTATCCACTAGCGATCTCAGGCATAGGTGAAACGGTTGCTCAAGATAGAGCTATTGCTGCTTTGAGGAATCACAAAGAAGCTGAGCGTAGAAGAAGAGAGAGAATCAATTCTCATCTCAACAAACTCCGTAACGTGCTCTCTTGTAACTCCAAGGTAAATATAAAATTTTAATTCATGCTAATAATACCCTTTTATATGGCTTATACACATCTTTATACATAAATACATGCGTATATCTTATCAAATCAAGAATATAATTTAATGGGTGTGTTAGGGTTTTGTATTTTTTTTTCAATACAAGTATTACATCTTTAGAAAATTTCTTATATTCCGTTCGATCTGGTGTTATTAGCTCATGAATTAATAATAGATAGGTTTCATGATATTTTGTTATATTTTTTTAGTTTCAGCTGCTTTTTTTTGCTTAATTGTAATTTTTACTAGCACACACATGAAGTAACAAAGATGATCCATATAGTTGCATTAAATTTAACTCTACAAAGATCGATGTTTATTGATTTTTGAGTGTATGTAAGTATAGCGATTCTGCATATTCAAAACTTGCTAGTGAGAAGATATAGAAAACAAGAAAAAAAAAAACTTAAAGCTTCATGGCCTTTTTGAGAATCTCTATGGGATGATAGTATATCACTTTTTAGGAAAGTTGTCAAGCTTTTTCAGTTTATTTGATATGAATCATATGATATGAACATATAAATTTCAACTTCTTGATCCAAAACTTGGAAAGTTTTTTTTTAAATATCCAAAACATTAATTTGTAATTTCATGTTTCTATTTCAGACGGATAAAGCCACACTGCTGGCCAAAGTGGTTCAACGAGTCAAAGAACTTAAACAACAAACCCTAGAGATCTCCGACTCCGACCAAACCCTTCTGCCATCAGAGACTGACGAGATCAGCGTTCTACACTATGGAGACTACTCAAACGACGGTCATATAATCTTCAAAGCATCTTTATGTTGTGACGACAGATCAGATCTCTTGCCTGACATCATGGAGATACTTAAGTCTCTTCACATGAAGACACTTCGAGCTGAGATCTCAACTCTTGGTGGTCGGACAAGAAGTGTTCTTGTTGTAGCTGCTGACAAAGAGATGCACGGCGTTGAATCTGTGCATTTCTTGCAGAACGCTCTCAAGTCGTTGCTCGAGCGGTCAAGCAAGTCTTTGATGGAACGCAGTGGTGGAGGAGAACGGTCAAAACGTCGTCGTGCGCTGGATCACATCATAATGGTGTGAGATGATGATGGGAGTACACTCAAAAGTCTATAATTGATTTTACATATAGGGTATGATCATAATTAACTTGGTTATAATTACCAAAGCCTTTTTTTTTTATCGTTTCTACTTTATAATGTTCTATGGTTTTAGTTATAAGTCGTGGGAGTGTAAGCAAATGTTGTAAGTAGGTTTGGTGTGTGAATCTTTTTCTTTCTTTTTCAAGAAGAAGAAAAAGATAATATAAAATATTAATATATAAAGACTATTTTTCATGCTATTTTTTTTCATTTTGTGTGAGTTGTTGGTGTGAGGACTACTAGGGTTTTGAGATATGTGAGAATATTTGTCGACGTAGAAGAATCTAAGTAACAGATGTGATTGGTGCAGTCCAAAAGAAACTAGACTTCGATATATTACACTATATATATGTGAATGTGTATAAGTACATGGTGAATAGAAGTCTATGTTTGTATGCTGTGAGTTTCAAAGCGACCCTTATGTCACCTTTGTCCCCAAATGAATCCAGTCTCCCCTCCCTTTCTTTGTTCATGTCTTTCTATATGTGTACATTTGACCACATTTTTCAGTCCGAAGAATATAAACAGGGTCTGATTTTCTTTCGTATTTATATATAATAATTTATAGTTCAACTTATTTTATACATGTGACTGTGACGAACTGCTTTGCTGTTAATTAGTTGAGATTTATAGAGTATTAGCGAATATTTAGTCTACGTTTTTATAAAGTGGTAGGGCATACCATACACACACATGTTTATATGTGCTTAAGCACTTCCTCGAGTTCTTTTGGCACTAGAATTCGTCTCTGCCCCTAGATAGTATATAAAATCTGGGCTATACAAAAAAAATGTTACGTATTCGAGTCGTATAAAGCCTTCCCTAATAGCATTGTCTATTTCAGTGCGTATTTATAGAAGCAAATATGGGAATATATGTCATCTCCCATAAGGTGAACTTCTTTTTTTTTACATCAAGAACATTGGTACTGCCCCCATCAAATCTTATTTTAATACATTTCTGAACATATGTTTAGTTGGGGATGAATAACTTAAATGGTATATTCACACTCTAATGCATTGTATATATAGAGTGGTCTAGTGATTAAGCAATTCCAATGACAAGAAAATGTACGTTTTCTTCTTTCAAAAATATGGCATATTTTTTGCAGGTCCCTTAAGATGTGTTCCTTAGCGTACAGACCTTTAGCTTTTAACTGAAAACGTTAAGGGACGTCCCTTACATAAGAGATTTAAAAAACATCCCTTAGCGTTTTTAGTTAAAAGCTAAGGGATCATACGCTAAGAGACCCAGTTTAAAGGACCTACAATAAACATGGTCTAAATAAAACAATCAAACTAATTAGTTGAAACCAATTTATGGTGATCTAAGGGCAAAAAAATTCGTTTTATAACAAAAGAAAATAAGGATTCGAGTTTTTCTACTTGATTTTAGCCATGATTGGTAATTATGTGCGTGTTAAATGACAAGAACAGAAATGCTCACAAGATTGGAGATTAGTTTGGTTTGAGATCTCCTAATAGTAACTAGACCTCCTAATGGTAATAAAATGTAATATGAAGAAAGAAGGGTGACAATGTGGGATTAAAAGGAAGGGAGGCGTGAGAAAAGGTTACTGACAAAAGGAAGAAAAATTGATGGGCCATTGGCTCTATGAGACAAAAAGGACCGACTCTTCTCATCACTCTCCCTTTTATAATTGTTTCTCTAATCTTTTTGGAGAATTTGATAAAAGAATAAAATATTGAAGAAAACTAACAGAAGAAGAAGAATAAAAGGTGGAGAAAGTTTGTCCTGGAGCGTGATTGTTTTGGGGCAGCTGGTGTCCCCTCTATACTCAACCTCTCGACCAAAAAGTATAATTTTATAGAAACCTTTATAGCTTTGGCACTATTTTATTATCATTAAAGTTATATTTGTATTCAACTCAATACAATATAAGAAAAAGACCTTCAAGTTTTAAAAATTCCTTTTTGAAGTTTATGGGTAGTGTGACAAGGGCAATCATTAACCTCACACGTTAGTGTCTCATTGTGTGAACATGTGCGTCCCTCTTACTTATCTTACCACACAATTTTGACCATCCTATTTCCTTTTTGAATATAGCTAATATTTATTTTGTGTTTTTTTCACTTTTATTAACTTATTTACATGTCACAAAGAAGCAAAAACGAGTTATCATATTATATGTCATATATGTTTTTGTTCGTATGTGTTCAGTGTTCTTATTGTCTTTCTTGGTCAAATGTTCTTGTTTACACTGACAAATGTGGAACCTTTTCACTTACTTCGGGGTTTAACGGAAATTTAGAAAACCTAAAATACAAAGTAGCAACCTCATATCAGCATAGTACTGTATCCGTTTTATATATTAGTTTTCTGTTGACACAAATTGTTTGCTTCTACATAAAATGAGCTATATAGTATTTATTTTGAAT